CACAGAGAAATCCATAATGGAAGACCATCTTACTCGTCCAACGAGGGATCGCCTAAGTAAGTAAGTAAGTATTCCAAAGGAAAATAAACAATAATTTATGTGCCATCCAACATTTTGGCTGTCTTTAGAAATACCTCTTTAGTTAGATATAAAAAGATAAACAAAGGTATTGGTTTAATATGGCATTGTTTTAGAGAAGTCCCCTGTATCCTCAGATTCTGCATCCATTGATTCAACTATTCATGTCTTGAAAATATGTTTTGAAATCCAAAAAGCAAACCCTGATTTTTGCCATTTTTTAGAAGAGACATTACTTTACTATCCCATAATTGAGCATCCATAGATTTTGATATTCACAGAGGGTCCTAGAACCAAACCTGAGTGGATAGCATGGGTCCACAGTTGTTCAATGGTAGGTCATATATTTTTGCATGCACAAAATGATCCCACGTTCAATCTCTGGTAAGGTTGCATGAGAGAGGCCAATATGTTTAATTCAATGGTTTAACAATTTGAGACAAATAAGTATGTTCATATAAAAACGATTTTGCTAGCTCTTTTAATAGTCATAGGCAACATTTATCACTTACCCAGGATTCAAGGTAATAAAGATTGCACAAAATGGTTTCAGACGGATTTCTTTTCCTTCCAATACAAACCTATGACAAATATTAGATTATTAAAGACAGTTTCTTAAATGGGAGGAATTCTTGTTAAATCTATCATACTATCCTAGGGACACATATACACCGACTACTTAGGTAAGAGTATATGTGGATCAGCATCATAAAGGGCTGATCTGCCTTAACTCTGAGCAAGGCCTTCCCCCAGATTCAACTAACTTGGGGGTGGGATCTGAATCTTGACTCAGGATTAAAGTTCTCCCCAGAATTAGGGGCCATCCACAGCTGGGCCAATTCCTAATCAAAAATTGTGGCAACTGTCTTGATTGCCATCTTGCATTCCCCAGGCTCTGGTGACCCAGGGGTGTATCATAACAGCTGCAACAACCCTATCAGTTAGACCACCATTGGCCAGACTGCCCACTTGCTTCCTCCCATCTCCTGATGTCAGCCAGAATTCCAAGAAGAAGTTAGTGTGCTGATGTCATGGTTGGTGACAACTGCGACATGGGTAGTCCCATAGGGCGGCTGCCCAGTGCAGCTAACCATGTTTGGTATGGTTGGTTAGAACTCCCTGCTGTCTCTGAGGTAGTTCAGGGAGTCCCAATCCTGCTGCCATGCAGGGCTGATCTGGCATCCAGGACACCGGATTTACCCTGCATTATCCATTTGTGTGTAACTACCTTTAGTTTGTTTTTATATTGATTAAACTTATATCTCAACAATGCCTGAAGTAATCTATGTAAACACAAAATACAACAGAATAAAACCCACTAAAATATAATAAAAATGAGAACAATTCGAAACCACTTGAGAACTAAATGGCCATAAGAGGAAACAGTTCTTAGACTCAATTTAAGATAAAACTGACTAACCAATCATATAGTAAGTTAAAGGAATTTAAAAACTGAAATAATAATTTCCTCTTTTTTGCACAAAGTATAATTTAAAATGATGGCATGTACACAAAATGCTGCCCTTTGGAGGCTAACAGCAAAAAGTCCTAATCTGGAGCAGTTATCCCAGCATGCAGGGCCATTGGCTTCTTAACCAAGACCTCTATTCTGATCATAGAACCAGGGTATGAAACAATGGGAGATTTTAAAGATACTTTTAGCCCAAGTCTTATAGTATTTTAATGATTAATTTAAAACTTCCACTCTATGTCTAATTTTTGCTTTGTGTATTTTAATATGTATTTTATGGAAATATGCTTTAATATGTGTACTATACGGAGTGTTTTTTAAATGATTGTGTGTTTTGATTATGTGTTTTAGCAACATTGTAACTGGCCTCAAAACAATCTATGTACAGAGAAAGTATAACATCCAAAGAGCACTGAATTGAGCTGTGTACTGAGGATTTTGGTAAATTGTTACTATATGCTCTTTGGATGTTATACTTTCTCCTTACATAGATTATTTTGTGTTTGTGTTTGTTCTGAAACCCTACAAGTATTCTGGGATATTGTATAGTAACTGGCCTCAAGCCATGAGGAGAGGTGGATAAGAATTTTTTTATAATATTATTAATTATCAATCTAAAAAAAACTTGATCTGAGCTTTGAAAGATAATGGGAGTCAATGCTTTCTATTGTAGTCCCATATACATCACTAAAATAAACTAAGGTATAAATTGACATTAAATAAATATGAATCACTGACTAATTGGGCTAAAACGAGATAACTTGTCATTTCTAAAATCAGTCTTTCAGGAAATACTTTCCCTGCACCTTGCAGGTCCCAAAATGTTTCTTTTTTTATCTGATGTGTGTATGTGTGGATTACAGCCTTGTATAAATGGAAAGTATTGTGGTATATGGTTTTTACTTCTTAATTTCTTTCCTTTTTCCATTTGCAATTATTTGTATGACTGTTGTGTTCACTATACTCCCCCTTTTATAGCCTAAGACATGTTATTGCCAAGATCCCTTTATAAGCATGTGTACACATAGGACAAGTTCTGAGAGTGCCTTGGACTGCGAGAAGATCCAACCAGTCCATATTTCAGGAAATAAAGCCCGACTGCTCATTGAGGGAAGGATATTAGAGACAAAGTTGAAGTACTTTGGCCACAACATGAGGAGACAGTAAAGCTTAGAGAAGACAATTATGCTGGGGAAAATGGAAGGAAAAAGGAAGAGGGGTCGACCAAGGGCAAGCTGGATGGATGGCATCCTTGAAGTGACTGGCTTGACTCTGAAGGAGCTGGAGGAGGTGATGGCCAACAGGGAGATCTGGTGTGGGCTGATCCAAGAGTCAGAAACAACTGAACAAATTAACAACAACAACACATAGAACATTTATTAATTCATTCATGTGCTCTGTGGGCATACACAATAGAACTTCTTAGTTATTTGATAAATAAATACAAATCATTTCAATATTAAGGTTAAAGGGAAGGAATTTCTTTTAAAAATGCTTTCAAAAAGCGTAAGAACAGTTTTCTCCAGAGTTGTACAGAAAACCCATGCAGGTAATATACAGTTGACTGTATTATTAGCTTTCTAATTCATACACAGATATCCAGCAGTCAGAACTTCTTTCAGTCCTAGAGTCAAGATTTCTAAACAAGTATTTGTTTTAAAGCCTTCTTTGAAGTAAAAGATTTAAAACACCAACATAGAAACACGTATATACACGCATGCACATATATACACAATGCAAAGCCACATGCATCTGCATGTAATGTCATTTGAACATGCTGATTGGGGGATTCTGGGTAGTTGTGGGATGTGTTATCCAATAAGTAATGTTTCCAAATAATACAATAAGGGAGAGCACTTTCAAATGATCGGAATATTTTCATATAAATACCTAACAGTGAAGCTGTCTTTAGCTGCCTTGATTGTTTGAATCTGTGAAGCAACTGCAGAAAGTACTTCTATATCAATCCTGTTGAATTCATCCAAGCAACACCAAGCGCCTGACTGAACTAGCCCGCAGAATAATTTCACCATCACCTTAAACAAAAAGGTATATTTTGATCAGCATTGAACTTTTTTTAACGTGACACACCCAATTCTCTATTTTTTTCTGTATATCAGTAGATGTACTCTAGTGTAAAAGCTTATTAATACTAAAGACTTACCACATGAGGTTTATAATATGAGCTGCAGCCTTCTGAAGCACAAATGGAATTGCCTAGTTTTTAATTCATTCCAAAACAGTCAGCAACTCGTCTGTAGTAATTTTCTAAAAATGTGCAACTCCTGTTTTCAAGCAACATAAAGAACTCTGAAGCACTTTCAAAGTGTTTTCAGCTGTGCAAAAGCACTTCAGCTATGAGTTTGGGGGTTGTGATGTGTCATTAAGGGTGTGCTGTTGGTGACACTTTAATGGCTTCATTTTCCTATGACCATAGTGTTAATCATTTTACTTCTGGCCATAAGAATGCATCTTCTTTCCCTCCTTGCAAAATTCAGAGATTTGGGCCAGTATGTAGCCTCCATCCCAAGATGAAGTGGGACTCAAAACCTCAATTTCTCTCGGATTTTTGGCTTGTATAGAAGGGCCCTGAGTTGCAATAAGCAATAGTCCCTTCCTTCACAGAATACATAAAAGAAGGAAAGCATTCTACAGTAGATGCAAAATACATAATTCCATTTTTATTATTATTCTAATTGCAACACTGTTGTCGAACACAACACTCCTCACCCTGGAGATTTATAGTTTTACAAAGGCACTAAGATAAAGAGAGCATTTTTATTTGACAAAACCTCAGCAGTTCCAGCAATTAGCTATACCAGCAGACAGAGCAGTGACCAACATTCTTCCATGGAGATTAATCTTATTTTTATTTTTTTTAGTAAGGTCTGCAAACATGCGCTGATACATACCAGTGCATGAGCGGACTGCATCTGTAGGAGTGAATCTCATACAAACACTTCATCATTTATCTTTAATAAAATGTTTCTTTTACACTGGGCTAACTTTCCTGGTGTAGATGAGCCCTTAATTCTACAAAAACAAATCTAAGGGTACAAATTTCTAAACTGCGTATTTTAAAAAATTATGTACTGTACCTGATCATCCAAACCTTCAGAACAGTTAAAGGAAAGACAGAGTTTCCCTAATGCCTAATGAAAAGAGAAACGATGCTTTAGGGATGAAAACTGTTATTTATTTAATAAGACAGATTAATAAGATAGAAAAGTTTCAAATGTGGAATAAAATTATAGGTCTTATTATATTTTCAGTTTGTTTTCAATTTTTCAATTAAAAAAAACACCCCTAAGAAATCTGCCTTTCTAAACTTAAAAAACAAGTGAAATTTTGTTAAATTAAAAACTGTGCAGACAAGAAAACGTGACACGAACATTTCAATATAACCACTCGGTTAATTCATAAACAATATGGACTAAATCTAAGCCCTGGTCTAAATTACAACTGACTCACACAATAGCTCTTTTTTATTTGAGCAAATAACTGGATCTAGTTTCAAAATATTGGAATCTATTTTTAATTTTGCTTCTATGAATAAAATGGCATTCACCAAACAGGATTGTTCCATAACCAGCTTATTTTGTAGACCCTCGCTGTTTCGTTGTGCCTGAGGCATGAAGGCCTGGCAAAGATAGCACATTTGCATGATGTATGATTCTCCAAGGCAGAGAAAGTTTTTGGCATATAGTATGATGATGAATATATTGTTCTATGAAAGAAAACACATTTTGATATCAAGCCTAGCACTTACTTTTGCTAGATCTTTAACAGTTTCTGTTTTTCCTGTACCAGCTGGACCAGCAAGACAACCTCCTAAATTCAGTTGTAGAGCTGTAGTCACAGTTAACCAACACCGATCTGTGAGAGGGGTAATAACCAAACGTGGAGAGCAGCCCAGGTATTCATAACCATATTCAAAGGAGGCATAACCTTGAATAACCCTACATGGGTAAGTGGTATGCCATTCATAATGCAACTGCCTGGAATGAAAGCACATTTTAATATGTGAGTATGAAAGAATGATGTTTCCTGTGAATATTCATCCCTGGATGGCTGAGGGAGCAATTCACACACTCCTAGATTGCTTCTGAGCAGGAATCCAAGATTCTTTTTCTGTTGTCCATTGACTCCCTTTTGTTCTCCACTAGTTTCATTCTGAAGCCTGACCTACGATAATCACTTCAAAAAATATTTTTTTATTTATTCCGTGGAGCAGCAAATTGGGATAAGGTAGATAGTTTCTTCAGCTATCCAAGAATGAACGAAAGTACCAAATTTTCATTCTCTGAATGGCAAAAAAGAAGAAATCCATGCACCCTCTAGATTTAGTAAGGAAGGTGTGGCTACTATTTGTTCTCACTGGTTGCAGAACAATGAGACAACAAGGAACCTGTGCTAATTTGAATATAACCATTGCCCTACACATGTGAACACCTCCTTATATCACGTAGCATTGCAAACATATTCCAATGATGCTGAAACTGCATACACTGTACTACTTGCCATGTTGTTGTTCATTCGTTCAGTCGTCTCCGACTCTTCGTGACCTCATGGACCAGCCCACGCCAGAGCTCCCTGTCGGCCGTTACCACCCCCAGCTCCCTCAAGGTCAGTCCAGTCACTCTACTTGCCATAGAGCGAGGTAAATGCAGCTACACGCACTTTGGTCATGACACTCTGGCATAGTCATAGCATTGAAAGACACATGCTTTCAACCATCAAGCAATCATTTGCTTTGATTATTTATAGAATCATAGAATCATAGAATCAAAGAGTTGGAAGAGACCTCATGGGCCATCCAGTCCAACCCCCTGCCAAGAAGCAGGAATATTGCATTCAAATCACCCCTGACAGATGGCCATCCAGCCTCTGTTTAAAAGCTTCCAAAGAAGGAGCCTCCACCACACTCCGGGGCAGAGAGTTCCACTGCTGAACGGCTCTCACAGTCGTCCTATGTTCAGATGGAATCTCCTCTCTTGTAGTTTGAAGCCATTGTTCCGCGTCCTAGTCTCCAGGAAGCAGAAAACAAGCTTGCTCCCTCCTCCCTGTGGCTTCCTCTCACATATTTATACATGGCTATCATATCTCCTCTCAGCCTTCTCTTCTTTAGGCTAAACATGCCCAGTTCCCTAAGCCGCTCCTCATAGGGCTTGTTCTCCAGACCCTTGATCATTTTAGTCGCCCTCCTCTGGACACATTCCAGCTTGTCAATACTTCTCTTGCGTCGCCCATTCTGTATCTTTGCATTTCGTTTTTCCTGCCAAAGTGGAGTATCTTGCATTTGTCACTGTTGAACTTCATTTTGTTAGTTTTGGCCCATCTCTCTAATCTGTCAAGATGGTTTTGAATCCTGCTCCTGTCCTCTGGAGTATTGGCTATCCCTCCCAATTTGGTGTCGTCTGCAAACTTGATGATCCTGCCTTCTAACCCTTCATCTAAGTCATTAATAAAGATGTTGAACAGGACCGGGCCCAGGACGGAACCCTGCGGCACTCCACTTGTCACTTCTTTCCAAGATGAAGAGGAAGCATTAGTGAGCACTCTCTGTGTTCGTCCACTTAACCAATTACAGATCCACCTCACCGTCGTTTTGCCTAGCCCACATTGGACTAGTTTCCTTGCCAGAAGGTCATGGGGGACCTTGTCGAAGGCCTTACTGAAATCCAGGTACGCTACATCCACGGCATTCCCCGCATCTACCCAGCTTGTAGCTCTATCGAAGAAAGAGATCAGATTAGTCTGGCATGACTTGTTTTTGATAAATCCATGTTGATTCCAGAATCTTGCCCGGTATCGACGTGAGGCTGACCGGACGGTAGTTGTTTGGGTCATCCTTTTTTCCCTTCTTGAAGATTGGGACCACATTGGCCCTCCTCCAATCTGCTGGAACTTCTCCCGTTCTCCAAGAACTCTCAAAGATGGTTGCCAATGGTTCCGAAATGACTTCCGCTAGTTCCTTCAGTACTCTGGGGTGTAGTTGATCTGGCCCTGGGGACTTGAACTCATTAAGAGCGGCCAGGTATTCCTGGACGACTTCTTTCCCAATTTGGGGTTGGATGTCCTCCAATCCCTCATCCACTCCATCTTGCTGAGGTTGAAGATGACTTTCTTTTTGTGAGAAGACCGAGGCAAAGAAGGCATTAAGTAGTTCTGCCTTTTCCCTATCCCCTGTCAGCATTGCCCCATCTTCTCCTCGAAGAGGCCCTATCGCCTCCTTGTTTTTCCTTTTTCTACTGACATAAGAAAAGAAGCCCTTTTTATTGTTTTTAATGTCCCTGGCAAGCCTGAGCTCGTTTTGTGCTTTAGCCTTGCGGACCTTTTCCCTACAGGTGTTGGCTATTTGTTTGAATTCTTCTTTGGTGATTTCTCCTTTTTCCACTTCTTGTGCATGTCTCTTTTGTGTCTTAGCACAGTTAGAAGTTCTTTGGACATCCATTCTGGCTTCTTTGCACTTGTCCTATTTTTCTCTTTGTTGGCACGGTTTGCAATTGCGCCTTGAGTATTTCACTCTTGAGAAATTCCCATCCATCCGTAACTCCCTTGTCTTTTAGTATCTGTGTCCACGGAATGCTGCTCAGTGTTTCCTTCATTTTTTGGAAATCAGCTCTCCTAAAGTCCAAAATGCGGGTTTGACTTGTCTTAGTTTCGGCCTTCCTTTGTACCTCAAATTGCAGGAGCACATGGTCACTTGCCCCTAAGGATCCTACCACTTCGACCGCATCGATCAGGTCCTCCGCATTTGTTAGGATGAGATCAAGAGTAGCCAATCCCCTTGTTGCCTCTTCTCCAGCCTATGTTTAAAAGCTTCCAGAGAAGGGGCCTCCACCATACTCCGGAACAGAGAGTTCCACTGCTGAATGGCTCTCACAGTCAGGAAGTTCTTCCTCATGTTCAGATGGAATCTCCTCTCTTGTAGTTTGAAGCCATTGTTCCACGTCCTAGTCTCCAGGGAAGCAGAAAACAAGCTTGCTCCCTCCTCCCTGTGGCTTCCTCTCACATATTTATACATGGCTATCATATCCCCTCTCAGTCTTCTCTTCTTCAGGCTAAACATGCCCAGCTCCTTAAGCCGCTCCTCATAGGGCTTGTTCTCCAGACCTTTTATCATTTTAGTCGCTCTCCTCTGGACACATTCCAGCTTGTCAATATCTCTCTTGAATTGTGGTGCCCAGAACTGGACACAATATTCCAGATGTGGTCTAACCAAAACAGAATAGAGGGGTAGCATTACTTCCCTAGATCTAGACACTATGCTCCTCATTGATGCAGGCCAAAATCCCATTGGCTTTTTTTGCCACCACATCACATTGTTGGCTCATGTTTAACTTGTTGCCCACGAGGACTCCAAGATCTTTTTCACACGTACTGCTCTCGAGCCAGGCATCCCCCATTCTGTATCTTTGCATTTCGTTTTTTCCTGCCAAAGTGGAGTATCTTGCATTTGTCACTGTTGAACTTCATTTTGTTAGTTTTGGCCCATCTCTCTAATCTGTCAAGATCGTTTTGAATCCTGCTCCTGTCCTCTGGAGTATTGGCTATCTCTCCCAATTTGGTGTCGTCTGCAAACTTGATGATCCTGCCTTCTAACCCTTCATCTAAGTCATTAATAAAGATGTTGAACAGGACCGGGCCCAGGACGGAACCCTGCGGCACTCCGCTCGTCACTTCTTTCCAGGATGAAGAGGAAGCATTGGTGAGCACCCTCTGGGTTCGTCCATTTAACCAATTACAGATCCACCTTACCGTAGTTTTGCCTAGCCCACACTGGACTAGTTTGTTTGCCAAAAGGTCATGGGGGACCTTATCAAAGGCCTTACTGAAACCCAGATAAGCTACATCCACGGCATTCTCCGCATCTACCCAGTTTGTAGATTAATCTGGCATGACTTGTTTTTGATAAATCCATGTTGACTATTAGCAATGACCGCATTTGTTTCTAAGTGTTTGCAGACCACTTCCTTAACAATCTTTTCCAGAATCTTGCCTGGTATTGACGTGAGGCTGACCGGACGGTAGTTGTTTGGGTCATCCTTTTTTCCCTTCTTGAAGATTGGGACCACATTGGCCCTCCTCCAATCTGCTGGAACTTCTCCTGTTCTCCAAGAACTCTCAAAGATGGTTGCCAATGGTTCCGAAATGACTTCCGCTAGTTCCTTCAATACTCTTGGGTGTAGTTGATCTGGCCCTGGGGACTTGAACTCATTTAGAGTGGCCAGGTATTCTTGTATGACTTGTTTCCCAATTTGGAGTTGGATGTCCTCCAATCCCTCATCCACTCCGTCTTGCTGAGGTTGAAGATGACTTTCTTTTTGTGAGAAGACCGAGGCAAAGAAGGTATTAAGTAGTTCTGCCTTTTCCCTATCCCCTGTCAGCATTGCCCCATCTTCTCCTCGAAGAGGTCCTATCGCCTCCTTGTTTTTCCTTTTTCTACTGACATAAGAAAAGAAGCCCTTTTTATTGTTTTTAATGTCCCTGGAAAGTCTGAGCTCGTTTTGTGCTTTAGCCTTGCGGACCTTTTCCCTACAGGTGTTGGCTATTTGTTTGAATTCTTCTTTGGTGATTTCTCCCTTTTTCCACTTCTTGTGCATGTCTCTTTTGTGTCTCAGCACAGTTAGAAGTTCTTTGGACATCCATTCTGGCTTCTTTGCACTTGTCCTATTTTTTCTTTTTGTTGGCACGGTTTGCAACTGCACCTAGAGTATTTCACTCTTGAGAAACTCCCATCCATCCGTAACTCCCTTGTCTTTTAGTATCTGTGTCCATGGAATGCTGCTCAGTGTTTCCTTCATTTTTTGGAAATCAGCTCTCCTAAAGTCCAAAATGCGGGTTTGACTTGTCTTAGTTTCGGCCTTCCTTTGTACCTCAAATTGCAGGAGCACATGGTCACTTGCCCCTAAGGATCCTACCACTTCAACCGCATCGATCAGGTCCTCCACATTTGTTAGGATGAGATCAAGAGTAGCCAATCCCCTTGTTGCCTCTTCTACCTTCTGGACCATGAAATTGTCTGCAAGGCAAGCGAGGAATTTGTTTGACTTTGTATTCTTGGCTGAGTTTGTTTTCCAGCAAATATCAGGATAGTTGAAATCGCCCATGACTACTGCATCTCTTCTCTGTGCCTGTTTGGTCAACTGTTGGCAGAAGACTTCATCAAGTTCTTCCTCCTGGCTTGGAGGTCTGTAGTAGACTCCTACAACAAAATCTTTTTGAGTCCCAGTTCCCTTGATTCTTATCCAGATGCTTTCAAGCTGGTTTCCCAGATTGCTGTCATGCATTTCTTCTGCAGCATAAGAGTTTTTGACATATAAGGCTACTCCGCCTCCTCTCCCCTTTGTTCAGTTTCTGTGAAAGAGGTTATAGCCCTCGATGTCTACATTCCAGCGATAGGAGTCATCCCACCAGGTTTCAGTGATGCCTATGATATCATATTTGTGGTGTTGTGCTCTCTCTATGGCTCAAGGTGAGATAAAACATAGGTAAAATATTTGGATTGAAGGAAATGAACAATGTCTAATGTTAATGTCAATTTGTCATGATCAAACCTGCATAAATTTGGTTTTATGGAAAGAACCATTAACTTTGAGGCACTCACGGATGTTACTGATATCTAAAAAATCACCTCAAAAGAAAAAAACCCCTTCAATATGGCACTTTAAGTGTTCATACGATTAAGCCTAAATTCAAATGGTCTGTGAGAAAACTATGTAAATTTGGTAGTCCTAATATAATAGCCACTTTAATAAAAACAAAAAACCTTTTGACAGCATATTACCTCCTGGCTTTCAAACTGTGTTAGATTTTAAACACATAGAAACATCCCCTTACAAAATCCAAGCACATCACCAACTTGAATGTCTTCTAAGGTGCACCAATTCCTATGTTTTCTGTGTCATATTATAGATCTGATATGAGTAAGTCTCCTTTATAAGTAGTTCTATATTTCCAAATTATGCGGGCTGGAACTAGCATCCATGCGGTGTGGCTAGGCAGTAGGGACACCCTCCCACTAACAAGCAGATCAGGACACTCTCAGCTGCTTCGACAGTGGAAGGACATCCTTACTACCCAGCTGCACGGAAGTTGCTGAATGGACCCAACTACCACCTCCTGTTCTCCCTGTTGTTGCTAGCTACAGTGCAACAAGAATTCCTATCTGCTGCTCCACAGTATCTCTTCCTTATCCCATCCATAAGCAAGGAGGGAAAGTCAGAGAGAGAGAGAAAGAGAGAGAGAGAGAGGGAGGGTACAACCATTCTGTATCCCCAGGCTGCCTAATCCCAGAGAGCATGGGATGGCCATTGGCCAGTTCCACGTAGATACCAGCTACAAGTGTCTACACTGCCAAAGCTCAAGTTGAAGGATTCGGGATTTTCCCTGAGTACTTCTAACCTGATATGCAGCTATATTAAGCTGCTTTTCCCAAGTTAATCTGGATCAGTCCGCATGTGTTTTGTGGCTGCCCACAGGCTGATCTGTATTCACACCAGTCTACATTATCACTGTAGATGTGCCCTGAGTTAATAGGCATGTAATACTCTGAATATCCCTGCTGACTTAGGAAATGCCTCTCAATGTATAATGCAATCATCTTTAACTATTTTGGATTGTGATGAAATATTGAACCTTGATTAATCAAATTACAATTTAGCATATCAGTAGCTGCAGAAAAATCTGCATGTAAGCACATGAAACCACATATAAGCAATAGCACAAAATTACAATGTTTAATAATAATAATGATGATAATTTTATTTTTAACTACCTCTCCCTATGGCTCAAGGTGAGATAAAACATAGGTAAAAACACACAGGCATTGTATAAAATACACATATTAAAATGTATTTCTACAAAATACATATATTAAAATACACAGGAAAAAGATTAAAATATACAGAATACAATACACAACTTTAAAATTCATAATAAAAACTAAATTATGTTTTTGTTGGTATACTATTTTATTTAGATCTGCTTAAATTTCATGCACCACTACAGGACATTTTACTCCCACTGGTATGTTTTGTTGCAGAATCCAAATGTTAAATGCTACACTAAAATGTAGGCATAGTGTAGCATTTTTAACTGGCAGTTGTAGACAGTTTGCTCAAATCTCAGCTTCTTGCCATGCACAATATTTTCAATGAACAATAACAAAAGGACACAATTTCCGACTACTATCTCCCTCCAGTGCCGCATCACTGCCTCCACTGTAGTGTACTGGGACAAATAAATAAGATCACTTGCTTTTTTTGTGTTGTATGTGTGTGAAAGTGAACCATGCCACTCCAAAGCATAAGTGTCATGCTCTGTTTGTTATTAGTTTGGCCCTATGAAGGATGAAGATTAGAATGCTTTCCAGAGTTAAGATATTTAAGAAATTAATATTTATAGTACACAACCAGAACACCAAAATTCTCACCACAGGCAGGGAAAAAAAAAACAGATCTCATTCAATTGGCTCCTCCACACGGATCAGGAGGTTGAAGTATCATTGTTGCAATTCACAGGAGACTGCCCCTACCTGCAAATCACATTCTTATTGTCCCAAACAATGTTGTGGTGGTTCCAAGTATCATCTGAAAAACTGTATTTAAGTAGGGTGGTTTTTAATTCTGAGGCGCACAAGGCACACACTCTCCCTTTGGGTGCATTAGTGTACCAGCACATCAGTGAATTGGAACTTTACAATGTAGCACTACAGCATTCAATCTTTTAAAAAAATCACAGAGAAGAGAATTTCCCTTCATGCCAGAGGACTATCTCAACAAAGTTTCCACTGGCTTAGTTTTTTTTTTAAATTAAAAGAGCCCTTAAGCAGATTTTTAAAAACCCTGCTACCAGCAGCTGCAAAAAGTATGAAGACAGAAACAGCAACAACTGGAAAATATGACAAAACAAAAAAACCTTATTTTTAAAAGTCACATGCCATTATTTTTTTCACCCTGTTGCATGAGATTAAAGTATTTGACCTCAGCTTTACATATATTTATTTTAAAAAAACAATGAATTGATTCAGTTTTAAATATATCCATCTATTATATATCTAAATTTAACAAACAAATAATAATTTCAAGAAATACCTTTTCCATTCAAAATCTTCAAGATTACAAATGTCATGATCCAACAATGTAGTTAATATCTCTCTACAGTGGATGAACAAAGTAACCAATGCCTCCAATGTGCTTTCTTTGTGGTAGGGAAGAACATCTGAAGCTATTTCTGCAAGTTGCTCTATAAGGTTGATTAGATCATTACGACCTGATATCATCTCCTGTTTTGGATTAGAACTTAGCAAACACACTTCACATTCTTGAGTAAACATGATTTGACTCTAGAAAAAAAAGTATATTACCATTAATAGTAATAATTGGTTTGTTTGTTCTCATAGTTATGCCTTACTTTCATTTCTTTTCTTCTCTTTACTCTTCCTTATATGTGCTGGAACTTTATAAAGAGCTGCATAAATTCACTGTCAAACAATACATGTTAATAATTCCTCTGAAACACTTTTCAAAAGATTATCACACAACACTGAAAATACAGGTCCTGTCAATGAAAACTTGATTTATCTGTGAAAAATAAGAACACAGAATCTATTAACAAAATGGATTGTATTCTACAGGATGGTGTGTGTGTGTGTGTATTCTTTTATTGTGTATATGTAAAAAAGGTTTAAAAAAAACCAAAAAGGAATACATAATGTTTTAAACAATTAATACAGCAATCAAATGCAGATCATGTAATAACTACTAATAACTGTACAATTATCACTTTTTAACAAACTCATACCACTCTTATATTTATTTCAATTACTTCTACCCCACCCTTCTCACCCCCGAGGGGGGACTCAGGGCGGCTTACAAACGAAGGCACAATTCGATGCCTATATCAAGTTATACAAACATACAAAAAACAGTTTAAACAAGTTAACAGATTAAAAACTTCAATACATAAACAATCTCATGCTCAGTGTTCAGAGTTCCGAATGTCCATTCCGTTCCATCGATTCCTGCTCATCATCGGGTTTTTCCTTTAGCTGCCAGAATGTCCAAAAGCTTGGTCCCATATCCAGGTCTTCAGTTTTTTTCTGAATGACAAAAGGGAGGACGCTGATCTAATCTCCCCGGGGAGTGAGTTCCACAGGTGAGGGGCCACCACCGAGAAGGCCCTGCTCCTCGTCCCCTCCAGCCTCACTTGTGATAGAGGCGGGGTCGAGAGCAGGGCCTCCCCAGAAGATCTTAAACTCCGAGGTGGGACAGAGGGAGATCCGTTCGGACAGATACACTGGGCCGGAACCGTATAGGGTTTTGTAGGTCAAAACCAGCACTTTGAATTGTGCTCGGAATTGGATCGGCAGCCAGTGGAGCTGACGCAACAGGGGGGTGGTGTGCTCCCTGTACGCCGCTCCGGTGAGCAATCTGGCTGCTTCTCGCTGGACTAGTTGAAGTTTCCGAGCAGTCTTCAAAGGCAACCCCACGTAGAGTGCGTTGCAGTAATCCAACCGGGATGTGACAAGAGCGTGGACCACCGTGGCCAGATCAGACTTCCCAAGGTACGGGCGCAGCTGGCGCACAAGTTTTAATTGTGCGAAAGCTCTCCCGGCCACCGCTGAGACCTGGGGTTCCAGGCTCAGCGATGAGTCCAGGATCACTCCCAAGCTGCAAACCTGCATCTTCAGGGGGAGTGTAACCACATCTAACACAGGCTGTAACCCTATGCCCTGTTCGGCCTTACGACTGACCAGTAGGACCTCTGTCTTGTCTGGATTCAATTTCAATTTGTTAGCTCTCATCCAGTCCGACACAGCAGCCAAACACCGGTTCAAGGTCTGGACAGCCTCCTTGGTGACAGGTGGAAAGGAGTGACAAATTTGGACATCATCTGCATAGAGATAACATCTCATTCCGAAACTCTGAATGATCTCCCCCAGCGGCTTCATGTAGATGTTAAATAACATCGGGGACAAAATTGAATCCTGTGGGACTCCACACAACAACAGTTGTGGGGCCGAACAGGTGTCACCCAGTAACACCTTCTGGGTCCGTCCCTCAAGGAAGGATCGGAGCCATCGCAATGCAGTGCCCCTGAGCCCCATGTCCATGAGGCGCTCCAGAAGGATACCGTGATCGACGGTATCGAAGGCCGCTGAGAGGTCCAGCAGAACTAACAGGGACACACTCCCCCTGTCTAGCTCCCGGCGCAGATCAGCGACCAAGGCTGTCTCAGTTCCATGTCCCGGCCTAAAGCCAGAGTGCGCCGGATCTAGATAATCAGTGTCTACCAGAAACCCCTGGAGCTGTGTTGCCACCACACATTCCATGACTTTGCCCAAATAGAGGAGATTGGAAACTGGCCGATAGTTGTCGAATTGAGTGGGGTCCAGTGATGGTTTTTTCAACAGCGGTTTTATAATAGCTTGTTTTAAGCTCTCTGGAAACTCTCCTTCCTGTAAGGAGGTATTGACCATCACCTTTACCCACTCTGCCAAACCCCCTCTGGCTTCTTTTATCAGCCAGGATGGGCAGGGGTCTAGGGTTGCACCTCTCCAAGGATCCTGTCCACATCCTCAAGCTGAACCAATTGAAAAGAATCCAACAAAACTGGACAAGCAGATGCTCTCGTTACATCCCCAGAGACTGACCCCTCCCCCCTCGTCCAGCCAGGTCTCCGTTCTACAAGCCAGGTCGGCTCGTTCTTCTTGAATTAGATTTTGGATAATGGAAGTTTTTCCATTTACCGACCTGGCATTGAACAGCACCACCTTTAGCTTGGAGGGGCCACCGTCTTGGCACCTCAGTTGTATTTTGTCAGGAGAAAGTTTTGGAATCGCCAATCTATTTTTGTTAATTTCGGGCCGAATAGTAGCATTCATTTTTGGAATTGCCAATGTCCTGTTGAAAATTTTGGGCCGAATTTGATTTTGTCTTTGAAGCTTACCATTTTTGGAGGTTGCCAATTTATTATTGTAAATTTGGAGCCAAGATGGGTGTTTTGTTCTCCCTTTCCCATATCTCCCTCTACCTGTCACCACCTCTATGGTGGCCCTCCCACCCGCAGACCCCCCCCCCGGGGAAGCTGCCTCCATTTCCAGCAGTTGTTATCTCAATAATAGACGCTTGCTTATAGTTATGGTTACCTGTCTCTGGATCCCAGTATTCCCGCCCCTTGACACTACCTACTCCTTCCAGTATAGCAAAAGCTGTAAAGTGCACTTGTACTGAAGTTGTTATAAAGTGCACTTGTGCTGGAGATTGAAAAAAATATCAATAGCAGCAGGGGTAATGTAAACATTGACATATAAGTAAAGTGCTGATGTTTAACAATATGTATAATTGATTAACTCCAAAGTGACGGTGCGGGAAACTCAGAGCTCAGAATATAAAGTGCACAGTCGTAACCACTTGACCTGATATTTTGGACCACTTAATAATGATATGGGTTCTGGCAGAGCGAACTAAAGTGCTGAGATAAAGTGATTTAGTGCTGAAATGGATCTATAGTGCAAAGTTATTACCATAAGTGCAAAATTAGTGTAGGGTTATTGCCACTCAAACAGGACAGACCAATTCAGCCACAGAACCCGGCTCTTTGGGCCCATGGAGAAACAAGCCGGCACCCAGAGGCCAGGCCCCTGGTTCTTCTTGATCGTCTCGAAGGGAGATGACAGAGCAGGAACAGATGGTAGCCTGCACAATGAGGACAACAGTTACAACTATTGCTAGTTAGCAGCACAATTTTGCAGATTGCACGTTATATGGAAAGATGTTATTGCACGTTTTATCTTGACCACAGAGGGCAGTATAAGATGGATGAGCATCCAGTTCTTTGGGCGCAGAGCTCTGGAGATTGTACTAAAAACACTGAGTCATGAGCGGACAAAGCTTCCGGTTTTCGTTTAGGCTCCAAGTGTCCGTATTGCGATATTAAATCCTATTTTGAGCCCAACGACCACACTATGTTGTTAAATTGGTGTTATTGCACTGGTGTTACAATGGTGGCGTGGCCATACAACATGCCATCGGTGTTTATCCGGGTTGTTCCCTCGCGGCCTTGATGTTTCCTCACGGTCGGGGGGCAGGAGCGCGGGGGAATCCCAGCAGAGGAGGCGCAAAGCTCCAGGCCGAGGCCAAACCTCTGCTACAGTTAGTGCTCGGATGGGACGCCGCGGAGTGCCACCGCCACTGATGGAGGGAGGGCAGTTGGCGAGGGAAGCGGCGCCGCTGAAAAGCGCCGAAAAGCGCAGCCTGAAAGTAGCTGAATTTAGAGGCAGTTACCAGCAGTGTGGAGTGATGTTATTTGCACCTCCGGCCAAAGGGGGCAGTGTTGAAATAGATTACAGGTCTTAGTCACTATGAACCTCGATGGCAAACAACAAGACACAGGAGAACGCTGAGGCCTATGTCGGGCAGGCCTTCCGGTTGTTGCCTAGGTCCACCGCGTCCACTGTTTAAGCCTCACTCCACCGTTCTTTCCAGGCCTTTCCTGCAGCTCGGCTCCTTCCACCCCCACCTCCGGTCCGGCAGGTGGGATGGCTCTTCACCCGCTCCGCGCAGGCCTGATGGCAAGGCAAAGTCTCCGGGGGCAGGGCCTGGATCCCAGCCTGCGGGCCCACGATGCACAGCAATGCTGGCGCTCGATGGAATGGCGGCCCCGCTGCAGTTTGCCTCGGCAGCCGGAAGATGAATCCACGGCGGCTGCGAGAATGTTCGGCGGCCCGGCACTCCCCCCCCCCACCTCCTGTCCGGCAGGTGGGGAATCTTTTTACCCGGTGGGGGCTGATGGGCGGCTGATATGCCTGGGCGCCAGGCAAGCCTGGGCAGGGGCCTAAATTATTTGTGCCGCTGGCGACGCCGGATGTGAGTAGGATGGCGGCCCCGTTGCAATCTACCCTCGGTAGTCTGGAGGTGACTCTGCAGCGGGCTGAAGAGCAGCGGTATGGTGGTAAGGTGATAGGTAAGGTGATGGTGTGGCGACGGCAGCAGTGATATCAGAATCCGCTGCAATTGGATTTTACGATTGAGGGAGCTGGCCGCGATGCAATGGCGGCGCTCTACCTCACTTTCTCTTCTCCGTTTTCCCTTCCTTGGGGCTGATCTGAACCGCCCGGGCCTCCTTCGGGTCCCCTGACTATTCAGGGTTCCTGGCTGGGTCTGGGAGGGGGATTAGGGGGGAGAGTCACCTTAGATTTCCTCAGATTGAGGATCCCACAAGCGCAGCTCAGGATCTTGTTGCTTGCGCCATACCGGAACCAGTATAACGCCCACCACCACCACCACCAATGAACCCACCACCTAAGACTTCTGACGCTACTCAGTGTGGATCATAAACCCATTAAGAATTTACCCTTGTATCTTGTTTTAATAAATTCCCTTTTTGACTACTTTCAAATCTACCTTTATCTTCCTTTCCAGACATCTAAATGCCAACCTCCATTTATCTGCAAATTCTTTGTTATTTCCTCCTCTAATACCATTTGTTAGTTTGGCCATTTGCATATAGTCTAATAGTTTATCTCTCCATTCTTTAATGAATAAGTCCCTCCCCCCTTTCCAGGATTTTGCTATTGTTAATCTTGCAGCTACAAAACTGTATTGGCAAATTTCTTCATCTCCTTCTCTGATTCTCTTTCTGAATAATCCTAAAAAACACATTATTTTCCATTCTACAAGACGGCTGTGGGGAAATGGGAAATACTATTTTTCATATTCTTACTTTTAAAGAAGCGAGAAAAGTGCTAACATTTCTATTAAAATATCCCTGCCCATTAGACAGGAGGTAGCAGCAAGCAATTTTGCACACTAGCAGAGCATAGCATCCTTAATATCTTGTGCCCTTGTGGCACCATTGAATTTCAGTGACCTCATTCACTTAGCAAGGGCAGGAATGAGACTAAAATATGGTCTAATGTAAAGAAAGACACAACACATTCTCTGTAGCCATATATATTCTATTAGTTCTTTGCAAATAGATCAAGTTCAAGTTTTTCAGAAGGACAAGATGCTTTCTTTGGAATTCAGTTAAAGTGGCAGAGAATTATGCATACACACCAACCTTCCTATCCACTTCCCTCTTTTTGCTGAACTTTCTCATTACACCATGAATGGGAATTATGCAGGTCTTCAGATGTCAATGCAGCAGTCATAGACCCCTTCTACACTACCATATAATCCAGACTACCAAAGCAGAGAATCCACATTATCTCATTTGAACTGGATTATATGAGTCCATACTGTCAATTCAAAGCAGATAACCTGTATTTTATATGGCAGAGTAGATGGGCCCCAGTCAGCATGGGCAATCATGAGAGATGCTGGGACAACTCAAAGGCTACATGATCCCACCCTTGCATTAGAGAGAAAAGTCAGTAAACATTGTGAAGTTCTCATTCAAACTGATTATCTCCATGTATTACTTCAAAACCCAAACACACATTTTATATTTGCAGTTATTTGTATATGTTCAGTTAAGTAGCATTATCATAATTGTTTAATGTACTTCAATTTGTTGCTTACCACTAGTAGTACCACCTGTCCTGGATGTGTGAAAAACCATTCTTTAAATTCCATTTGATCCCATTCTGCAATGCCAACTGCTATAAACCTTAAAATAAATTATATAAAATAAATTGTATAAGGAGAAGAAAATTATGCAAGGTGTTCATTACTAAAAGCAAAGAAGAGTCTTGTTACACTTTAAAGACTATAGTGGTTATTTGCAATAATACTTTGTCTTCAGATAGAGAAAGGACAGCTAAGATGTGAATATTCACATTAGGTAAAGAAGCCTAATGAAGGAAAAGATTGAGCCCCCCTCTTCACTGCCATATAAAATTCAGCTTATCTGCTTTGAACTGGATTATCTGGCAATGTAGACTCATATAATCCAGTTCAAAGCAGATTAATATGGATTACCTGCTTTGATAATCTGGATTATATGGAAAAGTAGAAGGGGCATAGAAGAAGATTCAGTGTCAGTGTCAGAAGAATCCACTTGCTGTGAAAGATTTACAAATGGAGCTGGCTGGGCTTGACTGATAGTTGATCAGTTCATGTACTGGAACGTGTCCAGAGGAGGCCAACTAAGACTCTTTCCATACTGTCATATAAAATCTAGATTATTCACTTTGAACTGTATATGGCAGTATAGACTCAAAGAATCCAGTTCAAATCAGATAATCTTGATAATCTGCTTTGGTAATCTGGATTATATGGCAATGTAGAAGCGGCCTCAAATGATCAAAGGTCTAGAGACCATGCCTTTTGAGCTGGATATGTTTAACCTTCAGAAGAGAAAGTTGAGAGGAGACATGATAGCCATGTTGAAATAAGGATGTGATAAGGAAGAGGGAGCAGGCTTGCTTTTTTGCTACCCTGGACACAGGTAATCCAGGTTATCAAAGCAGAAAATCCACATTATCTGATTAGAACTGGATTATCTTAGTCTAAACAGCTGTGTAGAAGGGGCCTAGGACTTGAAGTTTGAATGGGTTCAAACTACAGGAAGGGAGATTCCACCTGAACATTAGGAAGAACTTCCTGACCACAAGAGCTGTTCAACAGTGGAACTCACTGCCTCCTTCTTTGGGGGCTTTGAATGGCTGGATGACCATCTACTTTCATTGTTCTTTTCCTGCATGTCCGGGGAACTGGATGTCATATGGGGTCTTTTTCAACTCTGTGATTCTATGATTCTATGACTGAAATCAAGTACATTTCTATTCACTAGTATTTCTCTGAAATCAGTAATGAGCCCTGTTGGAGTCTCATTTGATTCATTGTGGTATAAAATTTCTATTCTTCCTTTGTCTCTGGAAATTGCTTCTTCCAGAACAGGAATAGTTTTTATTTCTGAATATCGTTTGTCAAAATATTTCTGAAGATGGTTTTCCTTTTGGCATCTTACCACTGTATTTTTACTTGCCTCAAATCACTGTTACAGAGATCATTCCTCCAATTTATGCTCACTGGATAAAATAAATAACTTTCTTAAAACTGTTCCTGGAGTCTGATTGATTGGGTTATTAATGTTATTATTTTTTTCAATATGTGACAAGCACTTGCAGTCATTGGTGTGGTTTTGGAGAACAGCTCATCTTCTTACTTGCCTTTTCTTTTTTTTCAGAAAGCAAACAGGACTCCTCTCTGTTACCAGTGACAGTTTCTCCACTTAATCACTAGCTATTGATACCATGTGTGTCTGTTTTAATCCTAACCTAACTAGTGAAGAAAATAGTGTAAATACAGAAAGGGAAGACAGTAAGGTAATTCTGACTGGTTGACAAAAAAGAAAATTAAAACTGATAACAGAAAAAGAGAGGAGTCAACAGAACTATGGATCCCTGCCCCAACTCACTGATGAGAGAGACTTACCTATTAATAGAGGATTGTTCCTGTCAGGTTTTACAATGTATTGTAATGTAATATAGCTGAGTCATGCACTGCTAATAGGCTTCTATTGGATATGCTGAGTCATGCATTAACTATACAGAACTTCATTTGGGGAATGTGTTCTGGCCTAGTCCAGAACACAAATCTGGGGAGCGGCGTGAATGATGTAATCCTGGGTCTGAGTTAAGTTAATGAGTTGGGAACCAATCAGAGATTGCTATGTGTAATTGTATAGAATTGTATATATGGAAGTCATGTAGAGTGTATACTCTCTTCTTGTGCTGTGATGCTGTTCGTCGAAGGCTCTATGTAATTAATTAAAAGAACCTGTCTGCTAAGACAAGATATAACTGTGTGTTGTGGTAAGTTTGTAATGTCATCTAGACCGGAGAAAGACAATGGTAAAACTGACTATGGCCGGGCATGTGCTCAAGTGTCTGTAAAAGAGTTCCAGAGTGACTGCAGTTTGTGGGAGCAGTTGACTGAAAATAATGTGCAGGAAGAAGCTACTGGAAAGTGCTGAAGTTGTGCAACTGATCTGCTGCTGAATTGTGAAATTAATCTCAACAGTTCCTGAAGCCATCATCATAATAACACTTCTACAACTAAGTAATGCAGTATTACAAAAATCTTATTTTAAAACTGTTATGGATAATACGAAAGGAAAGATTAGTGGGGGTTTTTTGCTATAATATATTTAAATATATATAAATATATATAAATATATATATATATACTCTTACTTTTGCACCATATCATACATAGTACTCTCAACATTTCCTAGCCACTGTTCAGCAGGACCTCTAATACGAATACTCCTGAAACAACATTTGAAAATATATTTTATTTATTTTGGAAGCATTAATACAGCCCCAACATTCAGTTTAAACTCAGTGCATATCCATATTACCTTGGTTTTCTGGACCTTAGCTCAGTGGACTAGTAGAATTGATCCACTGAGATTTCTACTGGTATTTTTGGCAGTCAATAAATAAGAACCATCAATTTTCTTTTTACAGTGCCAAAAATATCTACTAATTTATAAATTGGTTATATTCAGTAAACAGATAATTATCTATATACTCAAAACAATGAAATAAAGCTCTCTCTCTCTCTATATATATATATAATGCTAGTAATATAAATATAAATAATGCATGGAATTCTAAACATGTCTGATAAACATGGACATGTAACAGTTGTATTACTTCAGCTCGATCTACACTGACATATAATCCAGATTCAAAGCAGATAATCCAGATTATCTGCTTTTAACTGGATTATTTGAGTCTATACTGTCATATAATATGGAGCCCCCAGTGGCACAGTGGATTAAAATACTGAGAGGCTGAACTTGCGGGTTCAAATCTGGGGAGCGGCGTGAACTCCCCCTGTTAGCCCCAGCTTCTGCCAACCTAGCAGTTCGAAAACATGCAAATGTGAGTAGATCAATAGGTACCGTTCCAGCGGGAAGGTAATGCCACTCCATGCAGTCATGCTGGCCTTGGAGGTATCTACAGACAACGCCAGCTCTTCGGCTTAGAAATGGAGATGAGCACCAACCCTCAGAGTCGGACACGAGTGGTCTTTACCTTGGCAAGTAGTTGCCACTAGGCATTTGGTATTTCTATGTGGAACAGGAGTTGATAACAGCAAGGAATAATATGGCAAGGAATAATACACTGCCATATGATTCAGAATATCAAAATATTATCTGATTTGAACTAGATTATATGAGTCTACACTGCCATATAATCCAGTTTGAAGTAGTTAAACTGGATTTTATCTGGCAGTATAGATGGGGTCTCAGAAGAAGCATCTGGAAGAAGTTGGTGTACGCAGTGAGATGGTGATTTCAGTAACCAGAATTCAAGGAAAATGGGAAAAAATTGAAGAAAGAATACTTAAAGTTAAATAAATTCCAGTGGAAATGTTACATTAAGTTACATTTGTCTGTACTTGACTTAATTTTCCTTTACATACTATATTTCAATATTAATGTCAAGTCATTATAGAGTTTATAGTATGGTATAGTTTGGGATAATTAGGTCTATCTTTAATAGTAAATCTCAAGCATCCAGAAACTACATTATTTGGCATCTGCCCATCGCTATGGGTGCTGGTTAACTGGCAGTCTACTCTAGTAATAAAGAAAGCTCTGTGGGAATTGTTGAAAGTACATTTATGAAATGTCGCAGGAGTCTAGCGATAGGTAAGGCAGTGGGGAAGAAAGGGAAAGTCAACTGTACTATGTATCATCACATTAACAAAAATATTAGTTTATTTTTCGATTTCTGGTGTTGTTTCTCCAATTTCCATTTTCTCACGTGTCTTTATTTCTATAGTTTTTGGAGAAGGGATGTTGCCATATTTGGATAGATGGGCAGGAGAATAAAAACTGATGTCGAAGGGGCAAGGGGTCCTAACGGTTTCAGCATAAAGGAATGTGGAGTTCTGCCATCGAATGGCATGTGGGAAGAACCCAGCAGTTGTGGATTGCTCCCACTGCCATCTTGACAATAATACATTATTTATCCCTGCCCCAACACTGGAAATAATAATACTTGTTAAAATGTAGTCCATAGGAAGAAAATATCAACTCCTTTCCTAAAGCTAGTGTTGAAGCAGTTATTATGCATTCACATACTGGTATATATTGTAACTGTACAGAGCTGCCCTTGTAATTTTTTGGAAAGCTGAGTCTTTTGTCTCTAATCCCTTACCATTATGCTCACACCTAAAATGTCATCTATTCAGTTCTAACAATTTGACACAGCAGTACCATGCAATAGGTATCCTGTGTGCTGACATTGGAAAGATGGCAGTTGTATCAACACAGATAACCACAGAAAGAACACAAATTACAGATAAGCAATTTGTTCTTCTTCATCATAGTATCAATGACAATAGGAATAGGCTTTGAGCCCACGAGTCTGTCTGAGCTTTAAGATCTGCAGAACAGACACTTCTCTCTATCTCACTGTCTTTATGGCATGGTGTGTGGGGATACTGGCAAAGGCCTTCTCCATAGTTTCTCCTATTATTTGGAATTTTCTCCCTAGGGAAGTTAGAATGCTTTTTCTTTTTCTTTCAGTAGTAGATCAAGGCATCTTCTTGTTGTACTCTCTGCCTTTTTGTAAGCCATCTTGAGTCCCAGCCTGACATATAGCACTATATAAAGGACGGGATGAATGGATGGATGGTCTTTCTGCATTACCATATGTCTGACAATTACCATACTTATCAGTCTTGGCAGATAGGAGCATGTGCCACTAGAATTAAATTGAAGATAGAGCCAAGTGACATATCATTTCTGGCTTTGGTGCTCTAACTAATCACACCTTTCATAAATGCTGATGATGTAGCTATAGAGCAGGGGTCCTCAAACTACGGCCCGAGGGCCGGATACGGCCCTCCAAAGTCATTTACCCGGCCCTCGCTCAGGGTCAACCAAAGTCTGAAATTACTTGAAAGCACACAACAACAACAACAACAACAACAACAACAACAACAACAATCCTATCTCATCAGCCAAAAACAGACCCACACTTCCCATTGAAATACTAATAAGTTTATTTTTGTTAAAACTGTTCTTCATTTTAATTATTGTATTGTTTTAAAGTATTTTTGCACTACAAATAAGATATGTGCAATGTGTATAGGAATTCATTCATGCTTTTTTCAAATTATAATCCGGCCCTCCAACAGTTTGAGGGACTGTGACTTGGCCCTCTGTTTTAAAAGTTTGAGGACTCCTGCTATAAAGTATGAGACTATTTAATAGCAGAAGCTTTGCAAGTTGCCAAAATAATATGATAGCTTTAAATATTCACTTTGCAGATATTCGTAGTGATAACTTTGGATCTTTCTTGGGTCTGGAATAATGTTTGTTCTTTGAGACAGATGAAAGAAGACAGCCTAGTTATTATTAAAAAAAAAAACAGCAATCCTCATGTTGAAATAATTGTAGTGCAAGAGATGGATACAGGATATGTGCAATGACTACCTGAATGGCCTAGATAATGATTGCGGAGGGTATGGTTTTAATAGCAAATGTAATGTTTTTAAATGTTTTAATGTGTATTAATTGTTTTAATTTTAATTTTAATGTTTATTTTAATTGTATGTTGTTTTAAGACACTAGATACTTGCCTATGTGTAAAGCTGCCTTGAGTCCCCTTTGGGGTTGACAAGGGCGGAGTATAAATATGGTAAATAAATAAATAAATAATTCTAGGCATGACCAAGATCCTCAGGAAAATCAACAATGCTACATTTTCACTCAAATGTATACATATGTGTAAGAATGTAGCAACCTTATCCCTGTGTCAGATAATATAAATGCAATTTACACAGAATGCACAACTATTATAAATGCCACTTTAATAAAGTGGTTGTCTAGGGAGGCTATAGCCAATTATTGAATTGGTGCTTTAATCAAATGCAAAAATACCATCAATTCAGATAAGCTACATTAGAGATTTTTCTAAGAGTTTAATGTTGCCGACCTCTCTATGTTTTTAAACATTTGGTAGAGAAAGCATTGACAGGATAACTCTATTTTCTTAATACAAAGAAAGAGTTAAAATGATCCCTTCTAATTCTGGATTAACAGTGGATAGTGGTCTGGAAAATGACAACATGCTAGTATAAAAGGAAATTGTCAGAATAAAATACAATTCATTATAATTTACAAACAGGGTAAGGGTGGAAGTTCTGTTAAGAAAATGACTGAACTATAAGGATTCCTGCTATCGCTCTTAGGCCACAAAGCCTAGCTATATAAGAAGCATCTTGTTCTAGGCACCACCACCACCACCACCACTCAACTTCTTACACTTAAAACAAAGGCCAGCAATGCCTCCAGAATTAATATTTTAAAGGGAATTTGTTTTCCACTTGCTCTGCCCTTTTAAAATATTTATTTATTTACATTCTTCAATAGTAGATTTTAGAGATAATCTATCTACTCACAAACTTCCAAAAATACCAATAAAATATAGTTTTGTAAATTGCCTAAAAATCACTAAAATCCTATTTTCTTAACAAATTATTACAAGCATTTTAGAAATGTAAAAAAATGCATACTGTACTTTGGCAATAGAAGCATTTCTCCTTCAGCAGATCTAATCATTAGAATCACTGGGGGTCTCTGTTCTTGTGGGCGTATATATATTTTTCTTATATTTGCAAAACATTTCACAAGATGAGGCTGTAGCACAGATGTGAAGCAAAACAGAATTATAAACATTAAGCCGATAGCTGTGCGTAAAATTTAAAAGGAAAAAAGTGACATTATTACCTGCACAGCATCAGGATTTTTACTTTCAGCTAATATATCAAGAAGTTCTGCATTGCTGAGAAAATAAAATCTTGGAAAAATCATACGTTTAACTTCAAGGTGGTCCTGTCCCCAAATTAAAAATAAGATAACATTTAATTAAAATTATTAAATGAAATAAAACATTTTACACATTTTCTACATTTTACCCTATATGAACTTGTTTCAATAACCTCATTTCCTTCAACTTGTTTCCATTTTTGTCATTATTTGTGTTAGAGTTAATTCAAATAAACAGTGGTGCTTATATTAAATCATCTTATAAAGATTTAGACTATCAACCTCACACTGCTCAAGTCTGGAGTCCTCAATAAGGAACAGCAAGTAAGCATTAGGCTAGACTGAGGGAATCCACCCCCCACCCGCCGCTCCTGAATGTCTGTTAATGTATCGATTCGTTCTCTCTCTGTCTTTCTCCTCCCATTTTCTAACTGAAACTTCATGGTCTCACTTCTGCTTTTCCCATCTTTGCATGCAGATCTCTCTCTACTGTGGGTGTTTGAAAAAATGTAGTGTTTGGAAGTTTTTCCTCTTTTGAACCTTAGAAGGAATGCAGTTAGAGAGAAACTTAAAACCAATTCTTTTCTATCAAGAAATGTAGTTCTTATATTTTAAAAATAAACCTTTTTGAAACTTTAAAGATTGAACTCTGCATCTTTGCCTGATAAGCTCAAGAAAGGAAGCAGATTACAGGAGCTATTTTCATAGACTTCAACTCCCAGAAATCCAAACAGCTGGTAAACTGGCTGGGATTTCTGGGAGTTGTAGGCCAAAAACATCTGGGGACCCCAGGCTGAGAACCACTGATATGCTGACGATTGTGCCGTCACCGCTCAAGCAAGGAGCTTTGAAATGGTTGAACAGAAGCTCCCTGAAGCTTTAGGTGCTCTTACTGCTTATTACAGGAAAAACCAGCAGATTCCTAATCCACCTAAAATGCAGACATGTGCTTTGCACCTTAAGAACAGACAAGCATCCCGAGCTCTGAGGATTACCTGGAAAGGAATCCCATTGGAGGATTGCAGCACAACAAAATACCTAGGACTTACCCTGGACCATGCTCTGACTTACAAGAAGCATTTCTTGATTATCAAGCAAAAAGTGGGTGCTAGAAATAATATATGAAAGCTGACAGGCACAATCTGGGGATCACAACCAGATATAGTGAAGACATCTGCCCTTGCACTTTGTGACTCTGCTGCTGAATATGCATGCTTAGCGTGGAACACATTTCACCATGTTAAACCAGTGGATGTTGCTCTTAATTAGACTTGCTGCATTATCACAGAATGTCTACGCCCCACATAACTGGAGAAATTATACTGTATTGCACCATCTGACATCTGCCAGGAAGTAGTTACTATGAAGGGACCAAGGCAGTGACATCTCCAGCCCATTCCCTATTCGGATATCAGCCAGCACGCTAATGCCTTAAATCAAGAAATAGCTTCCTAAGAACTACAAAGATACTTTCAGGAACACCACCAAGCAAGAGTCCAAAAGTCGCAGGCTAAAACCCAGAACCTCAATCCATGGCTGATGCCAAAAGAGACTCCCTCCTGGGCACACAGAAGACTGTGTGACTTGGAAGGCACTGAACAGACTGCACTCTGGCATGAGATGCAGAGCCAACCTTAAGAAATAGGGCTAAAAAGTGGAGTCCACAACATGCGAGTGTGCAGAAGAGCAAACCACAGACCACCTACTACAATGCAGTCTGAGCAAAAAAAGATGACTAGCAAAACCAGTGAGCAAAATCATTGTGTCTCTTCCCTTCTCTGTTGTGTGATGTGAATCTTCAAATGGGAGACCTCATGGATATCTATATGTAAAAAAGGATATGTAAAAAAGGAAATATGAACTGTCTCAATAGACATATGCATCAAAAGACAAAAGGTAAGAGGCAATGAGTCTGGTTTGAGCCAAGATTGTGAGATAACTTGTTGCAAAGCAAGCAGAAGAAGGAACATTACTAGTGCTATTCTTCGTGAGTCTACAACTTGGAAAACTGGAGCAGCAACTGAGCCTGATGCTACTCTTTGCGGCTGCCTGATCCACTCACTACTTATCTTTGTTCACTGTCAATCTAATGTTGAGGTAATCTAAATTTGGTAATATGCCTTGATATTGAAAGCTTGATTTTCTGACATCTACCACAGTTAATTTCTTCTGAATAAAAACCAGAGACTGTTTAGACTCCTCCCAAGTTAAAAAAAGTGCTCTGATTGATTTGTAGAATAAAAATTTGGACATCTTAAAGAGCATATATAAAATGGATACCTTCCAATTGGATTTGACTTTAAATTATTGAGACTTTTCCCAATAAATTAAAATAAACCTGCAATCCAGTTTCATCTCAGCTACTTTATGTGCATGCTCTAGATCTGTGAACAAAATTTAAAAGAACAGAATAACATATATGCATTCAAAAGAAAATCCCCATTGCAAGCAATGAATCTTTTATAATTTACCTCAAGTGCTTTCTGAATTTTTTCCAGGCATGCATTGTTGCTCTGCATCATTTCAAGAACTCCCGGAGCTGTAGTGGCCCTGAGCGCATTTGGACGTTCTTCTGTACGTTTCATGATTTCCTTCCATTTATTATCAACTTGGGAGAAAAGACCTGCTTCTCCTGGAAGCTGTCTGTTTGAATTGTAATTATTTTCGGAAACAATTTATCAAGAGATATCTGATTCTTAAGTTATAGAAGATTTGTCTTTAAAGCCCTACTTCTATGTGCTAATATTGCTAATGCAAAGCTTTGTTGTTATGTGCAATCAATGTGTTAACCTATCATAAGCCTATGAATGAGAGACTGGCAAGCGAACTTATAATTAATAGCCCTGTTCAGGTTCTGAAAATTTGGATTGCAGCATCCTTATTTTTTCAAGAAAAAGATAAAAGATAAACTGTATACTTTTGGGAGACTGTTATTTATTTATACCCTTTATTTATGCTCCACCTTTTTCCCCGTGGGGACTCAAGGCAGCTAATATCCACTCTGTGGTCCTTATTTAAAACAAAGCAAGTATAAAAATTCGTTAAAAACCCCAATTCAATAGTACTATGTGAGATTGGTTAAAATAAAATTAAAATATAAGAAATATATTGGTTTGGGGCAATAGTACATTTCTTGTCACCAGTGTCCCAATTTCTCTTGAGAGGAGCACAAGCAGGGCTTTTCTAAACTTGCAAAAAAACCCACAAACAACCCAAACTTATCCCAAATGGCTGCCCTCATGATGCAAATCAGCTTCCAGTGAGTATTGCATTTTTTTGTTCTTTAGACTTAGTTTGCCCTGCTTTAGAATAGCTTTATTGTCATTGTATACTGTTCAAAAAATTAAATGCTTTCACTAGCAGACAACACAAAAACAACATACCCATCCCTCCAAACTCCAGCCACCACTGCACAGCCCCCAATGCCATATCAGTGTGAAACCATGGAGTAGAACATAGTTACAGCTCTATGATAAAAAAAAACTCTCTCTCAATGTGTTATCCTTGTCTTTGTCATCTTGTACTGCCTGCCAAATGGTAATAATTCAAAAAAAGAATATGCTGGGTGAGATAGAATACAGCAAAAGTGCTATTTTTTCAAGGAGGTATGATTAACTCCCTTTGATTCTTTTTTCTACTCTTGATAGAAGGGGGGGGCACACAGCATTTAAGCTAGAAATAATAAAATGAAACTGTATCTTTTAAAAACACTTCAGGTCTTTGGAGCCAATAGTGAGCAAAGACACAGAAAATATCTTTTATATGCTAATTGTCAGTTGTATTATGCAATCTGAATGTATATTGGCCAAATTGTCAATCCAGCTTCCTTCATCCTCCCTATCTTTCTCCCCAACTGGAACATTCCATGTAGTTTAAAAATGCTTGAAATGCTTGAAAAAATTCAGACCACAAAGCACTAGCTGTATAAAAGTTGTCTCCAGGCATGACAACAGATTCAAATAGGTGTAAATAATTCAACTCATCCATAAACTCATGGAGTTGAGAAGTACACTTTAAAAAACCGTATTTTAGAAAAATAAATACATATATCCTGAAAAAGACATTTAGAATATGCAGACATTTAGAACAAGCAGCTAACTGATATTTCATTTTAGCTTGCTGCACTTTAGTGTACCTTTTGATTTCTGGAGCATGAAAAATAGGCTCAAGGTAAATCCAATTCCTCTGACACGTCAGCCATTCTTCCAAAGTACAAGAAAAGAGGTTTAACTTACGACCCCAAATATCTACAAGAGTCTATTGCAGAAAACAGAATAACAACAAAATAAGGATGTGATAGCCAATAATACAGATTAGCTTAGTGAATAATTCTAATTTATGTACATTCACACTGATTTTCAAATTGACCCAGTGCATAAGATGTCAAATGGTAGACTGAGATTCATAACTGAGTCATCCCAGCAATGTTGTGACTGCTGGGAATGAAGAAGATAAAAAACAGAAGATGATTGGGAGTGGGGAGCTACACAGACATGTTAGAGGCAGAAATCACAGATAAGAAAAAATATATAAAGTAAGTTTCTTAAAATTGGTCTACTCTGGGAGTAACAGTGTGTTATGCTTAAGAACCAGACTAACTATCTCCAAATGTCTCCAGGATTTTTACCTTAATAGGTCCAACAAAACAAGAACCTTTAATTGTTGAAATTGTCACTTGAGAATCTTCCAACAGAGCAATTAAGTCTTCAGCAGATGAAATAATTAATGTAGATGATGTTTCAGTATGATATGGCGATAAATGAAAATCAGTTTTGTGCCATAGGTCCATTATCTTTTTCAGCATCATTTCAAGAGTTGTTTCATTCGTAGCTGTTATAGAGACTTCATTAATTTCATTTTTATACTGAAACATCTAGAAGTCAAAAAATCAGAAATATTAATAACATGATAGGTTGCATCCTGACCAAGAAAAAGCCCTAATAAAAGTCAGGCCATTCTGTGCTTTGAGTACATTAATTTGCATGATTGTTTCTGCCACTGCGTTCAGTCATACCTCAAAACATATCAAGATCTGTTTTGACTGCCATATGGCGTTGGTGGGTTTTCTTTCCCTTCTCAGAGACTTATTGACAACAGGCAGGCAAAGGCTCACCCCCATCTATTTTGTTATCAGTGGGAACAATAATGACAGAAAGTGAAACAAGGGAGCCAGATGGGAAACTTATCTTTGGCTGTTATGATGGCTCCTGGTAATATCAAAAGAACCTCCTCCTACCCTAGTTGCAAAAAGTTGCAGTTGTATATACAAAAGGACCAGAACAGAATGCATTAAACTGACATTTTAAACAGTCCCACAGTCTGTACAATGATGCATCAGGCCAAAACCGAGCACTTTTATCCAGTGTGCACAAGCTCACATTAGGTAGAGAAAATCTGTTTTAAGGAGTAACTGATACATAAATTTGGCCAATGTATTTGCTAGGTGTAAAGTGAACTGAATAACTAAATCTTATTAACAACTGTCCTCTGCAAATGCTCAACAAATTTTAACCAAAGAATGTGCACATCATTAACCCACAAAGGGAATCCTAGCATATGGATCTGGCCACCTTGATGCAGAACAGTGCCTAATTCCCACAGCCAGAGAGGTTTGACCAAGTGGAGGCATATTTTAATTGTAGCAGCAATTATTACAAGCACCAATGGGATGACACCAATGCTGCTGCTACTGACACACTAGCAATTATTTCACATACAACTGTTTAACACATTCTAATATATTCAGCAAAAATGTCTAAAGTTGGAAAACTTTTACTTGCCCCAAAGCCAAAAAAAAAAAAAGGAAAAAGGAAAGAAAGAAAGGAAGGAAGGAAGGAAGGAAGGAAGGAAGGAAGGAAGGAAGGAAGGAAGGAAAAGGAAAGGATAGGATAGGAAAGAAAACAAAAAAGAAAGAAAGAAAGATTTCATCTTGTTTCTGAGGGTGATTAAAAGGAGATTTATATCAAGGGAGCTGCAGCTTTTCAAGTCATATGTCTCATTTGAGACATTGACTGATTTGTATCACAAAGCATTAAAACTATAGAGTAAAAACTACAAAAAGTGTTGTTTTGAAGGCACCTAATCCTAAGGTAATTTTTAAACACATCCCAATTCATGCATGTGGATTTGACAGAACAAAAAATAATATTTTAAATTATATTACAGATATAATTACATTAAGTTCAAAAATCTTTTCCAAGGTAATCCTTTTATCACCAGAAAATGACTGTCCAACAATGTTCTGTATCATTTCCCAGTGTCTTGGCTGTAGACAAGGATTTCGTAAAGATATAATGATAGGCAAGAATTCCTTAAAATCCATCAATGAAGTCTTCAGAGCTGGTAAAATTGTATTTTCTGGCAAACCTTTAAAGTATGAAAGTGTAATGGACACATTAAAAATACTTCTTATTCCAAGTATATCTTATATAACAGATACTCTTTCTAATATGAGCTACTATTTCATATAGCCATGAATATGCATTTATTTATTTATTTATAGTATTTATATACCACTTTTCTCACCCCAGGGGGACACAAAGCGGTTTACACAGAAATAATGGCAAAATTTAATGCCTTACATACATAAATCAAAACTCAAATGAACAACATATAACTAGGCAGGGCTATTTATTTGAGTGGAGAGAAAGGGGCGGGGCTACTCTAACTGTCAGGGAGTTAGCTTGTGAGTGTGCGTTGCTGCCCTGCGTGAGCGCAGGCGTGTACCAAATGTGTGGTTCACAGGCTAACCACGCGGGGAAACTAGGAATAAAATCAATAGGACAATTCACCATAAGATAAGATAAAGGACATTTAAAATATGAAATATAAAATTTAAACATCTAACAAAAGCAATTCAAATCATATAATCCAACTCGTAGACTGGGTCATTCCAAATGTTGATTACATATATTCCATATTTGTTTATTCTATTGCATTACTTTACTAGTCAAAAGCTTGGTTCCATAACCATGTCTTTGTTCTTTTTCTAAAGGCCAGGAGAGAGGGCACAGAGAGAGTTCCAGAGCCAAGGAGCCACCACTGGAAAAGGCCCTGTCTCTCGTCCCCATTAACCGCCCTTGCGAAGCAGGTGGAACTGAGAGCAGGGCCTCCTCAGAAGATCTTAGCCTCCTTGATGGTTCATAGAGGGAGATACGTTCAGAGATGTAAGCTGGACATGGGTGATTTCTCTCATACACATTTTCAAAATCTTTTTTAAAGTTTAAAGCATAGGCTGAGATTTGGTAGAGGAAATGTAGCTAGATGACAAGGGCATGATTTCTTCTCCCAATCTGATTCCTCCAAATCCACTTTAGAAACCAGGCAACCTTATGATCTAAAGGAGTTCTGAAGCACTTGCAAGGATGGGGCTAAAAGACAATGCATTTGGACTCCATTCACCAATAAGCTGTGAATGAACAAGCAGTGGCAGGTCCAATGAGATGTCCTTGTTGTACTGTAGTTCCATCTTCGTCACTGTTACTGCACCTTGTTGATGGGAATCTTCCCACTGGCCGAAACCAAGATCACAACAACATCTGTTACAGAACTTCAATATACTAATAATGGAACCCTTGCTCATTCCGAAGGCAACCTACAATCCACTCTAAACATCTTTGCAGAGGCATACAAAAACCTTGGCCTCTCACTGAACATTGAGAAAACCAGTGCTCTTTCAAGAGACACCAGCCAATCCCTCTGCAATGCCAGAAATACAGCTTAATGGTGTAAAGTTAGAAAATGTCGACCATTTCTGCTACCTTGGCAGTCACTTCTCCACAGAAATTAACATCAACACTGAAATACACCATCTGAGCTCTGTGAGTGCAGCATTATAAATACTACACAACATGCCAGTTATAGTTTGCATTTTGCAGGAATGAAATGACAACGGATAGATATAGGGCAAGGTAAAAGGACTTGCCTCCTTTGTACATAGCACTGATTTGTTTGTTACTCATGTTAAAATACCCTTGCTATTTAAAAGTGGGCCTTCCCTTTAAAAACCTTCATTTCTGAACTACTATAATTATATATTATCAAGATTTTAATCTTTAAACATTGTTTGAATTCACCTCAAATAACTGCAATTTTAAAATACATTTTACCTTTTTCAAGAATTATTATGATCTGAATGAACCTGTTAACATCTTTTTGAATTAAATCAACATCAAGATTCCAAAAAATGGTGTGTTTCCATCTATAGAAAAGCTTGGTCCACTCTTCATGAGAATCCCACAACAATTTGCGCAATGCAAGTTCGCCTTCAATTTCAGCAAGTTCAGCATTCACCTTCTGAGAATTTCCAGAATGATCAGCATGCGACATTTTTTCCAATGACAGTGATTTCATGCCACTAACAGAACTGTCAAAAACAGTCTGGTAATTTGAATAATTTATAATTTTTTCACTAATTACTGCTGCTTCTTCAATGAGGCTTTCAATCATCTCTTTTGCTGTTTTAGGCAATGTTTCACTGAGGAGGAGGACAGGGTTTCTCACCTAAACAATAAAATAAATGATAAAATGATCACAATCATACAAATATGCAATTCCATCATGAGCTATGCATGATTTGCCTTCCAATCAAAATATATTTTGTGATACATGCACAAGTTAAAAGGACAAGAGACATTCCAGTAAAGCCTACTTGTGGTTGTAATTTTGGACTTTTTCTCCATTCAGCTTCAGCTGCTTCCATCTAACCTAATTGTGAGTGCAGGTATCAGCCACTAGATCTATATAGCCAATCCTCCTGTCTCTGGAGCTCAGTCTCTGATGAAACAGAAGATGAGCTAGTATTGTTGAAGACTTTCATGGGCGGAATCACTGGGTTGTAGATTTTTAGAGCTATATGGCCAACACTATTTGTTTGCTTGCATGTATGTCTAAAAGGGTAGGTCTTCTATTGTCAATAGTATGGAGACAGGCAGGGAACAAAGAAAAAGAACTCCTCTGTACCATCTCTGCCTCAGTCTTCTTTCCAAAGGAAAATACTATTCTAATAAGAAGAATTTATGCAGTAAGAGGACAGCAGCCTGAAGTAGGTAAAGCGCTAATGAAGGAATACCTAGCTACTCTAAATGTAAGCTAAAGAGTGCTAAAGGAACTTGGAAGTGATGATGATAGTAGTATTTGTATCCTGCTTTTTCCTCAAAATAATGGTTCATAATGGTTCATATTTTAAAAGAACAATACAATTAAGGCACAGGATTAATTTGCACTGTTGTAGGATAGGGACCTATGATGTGGGTATCCGGCTTTCAACAACGATGATGCAGAAAATGTTGAGTAGAAAGCCATACCTGATTTCCCACTTTAAGAGGGGCTTGTGCTGCCTCTTAGCACCTGCAAATTGCTAATTTGGCCAACTACAATTGATCACTCAGAAGTGGGGCTTTTGGTGGCTGCTCCAACTCTTGAACTTGCTCTATAGAGAGACAAGTGTGGCCTCATCCCTGCTTGCCTTTTTCAGGCATGTAAAATCAGGGGCTGGCTCCTGGGGCTGTCAGGAGTGGGATTTTTTTTTTGGGGGGGGGGGAGGGTGTAGTTTCTAACTGTAGTGTTAATTCTATTTTAATTGTTAGACTTCATGGCAAAAAGATTGATCTTTTAAAAATGCATTCATATTTACATGTAGATACTTTAAAAATGTGTATTGTGTCATGTCTGCAGCAGCCTTAAGTCCCTATATCAGGAGGACAGGATAATAATAAAAAAACCCATTTCTTCATGCTGTGGTCTCATTCTTCTGCAAATACTAAGATCACATTTTTTTCTGTCATAGTAACTTACTTTGTTCTTATATTCCCTCATTTCTGCCTGCAGATTGTCAATATATTCTCCCAAGCCTTCACTGAATTTTATAATATAATCATCTTTCATTTTTTCACAAATGAGAACAGTTGATTGAAGATTCTGGAGTGTACGCACAATGGTCTGATACAGAGCTAGTTGCTGAAGTGGAAGAAAAATGTCATAGTCTTTGGCAATAAAGTAGAGCTCAGAAAGACTATTATACTGCATGTTAATTTTGGGTAGATTTGCGGTAATTTCTTGGAGGTATTGCAGGTGCTCAATAAATCCATCCACTGTTGTCAGTTCTTTGCTCAGCTTTGCAAGTGCTGTTCTGGTGACCTACATAAAATGAAATATTAACGATGTATTTAGATATATTAAATCTATCAAAAAATCCACAGAAAAATGCATGTAAAACTTTGTGATAGGCCTCCTCAGAGGATGTAGACAGGACTGTGAGGCACTTAAGAGGTGAGGAATGATATTTCTAAGAAGGAATTTTTGTTAGGTGGGGTATTTGCAACAGGAACAGACATAATTCTGACGGAAAGGATTTAATACTGCAACTTTGTCATAGTGAGGAGAAAAAGTATTAAGAAAGACATTTATGAACAGGGGCGGCTCAACCCATTACGCAAAGTAAGCATTTGCAGTATAGTTGATTTTGCCCAGGGGAGCTCTTGAGGTGCTCTTGGGGGAAAATAGACCTTGACATATGCGAGTTGTAGTTACTGGGATGTATAGTTCACCTACAATCAAAGAGCATTCTGAACTCTACCAATGATGGAATTGAACCAAATATGGCACACAGAACTCCCACGACGAACAGAAAATATATATCAGTGTTTGGTTGGGTGGGCGCCAAAATACTGTTTGCTTACCATTGAAAATTACCTAGGGCCGCCTCTGTTTATGAAGTTTCAAGACAAAAGGCTCTACTACTGCCAGATTGAGGAGACCCTGACCAAGGAGTGCTGTTGTTATCGAGCACTGCTATCCCTACCCTCTAATAAAAAGGAATGTATAGTTCACCATGAAAAGGATTTAAAGTTTTCCAAAGGCAAGGGGCCAAAATGAATCTGGTTCCACTGCCTAAAAATTGTCTACTCAACAATGAATTTTTCCCTACAACATTTGGTAGGCCACTCTCCTACTTCATTAATGGATTGTATGTTCTGATTATTCATTCAAGAATATTCTTAGTGTGGTCAATTTATTCCTCAATGCTAGCACTTACTCTTACATTTTCTTCCTCTTTTGCTTTTTTTGTTGGAGCATAAACTTTGATTGTAATCAATTTTGCTACATCTCATCTCACTATGAATGCCATCCCCACTTTTTCTTAAAAAATTCATTTCCACGGTGTATATTTATCTGGTTAAAAATTGACCATTCTGGTCCACTGTAGCTTCTCATACCAAGTACTATGTTAATGCATTGTTTTTTGTTTTGTTTTATGGATTCTAGTTTTGCTTGATTAAAATGCCTCACATTCCATGATCCTATTATATGCCTTGTGTGGCTTGGAAATTGACTTTCACATCTGACCACATCAGCAGCTGAATTCCTTTTGGCTTGCATGTGATTGTTTTGTTTTGATTTGTTCTATACTCACTAAATAGCTGGTTGAGTCTCTTACATCTTGAGAATTTGTTAACTGTCTCTGAGAGATCCTTTGCTAGTTCCACTCCCTACTCCTATGTCCAATAGCTTCACCTCATTGTGCTCACAATTAGGAAATTATAAGTAGGAATGTTATTACCATCAACATTTCCTTTTGCTTACTTTCTCTTAATAATGTCTTAAAATATTGAATGCAATGCATGTCCTATCAGTTCTAAAGACAGCAGTATCTATATATTTTTAGTACTTATCTTTTAAGCAGCATTTTGTTTCCTAGTAATGGTAGCAATTAATGTTTCTCATATAATGTCTTTATGTTAAATCTTTGTCATAGAAAAAAATGCCACCCTCAGCACAATTTTGAAGTGGAATATAAACTTAACAAATTAATTTCAAAATGGATGCACTTACTTCTACAAGATGTATATTCTTTGCTTCCATAGCTGCATAGAAGGAAACATGAATTTTATTAAGCAGAACCTCAAAATATGGCAGACAATCCATCTGATAGTTAGAGCTTTTGACATGAAACATAGATATCCGTCTTTCAACTATCATGCACACAATCTCCTTGATATCAATTGTATAGTTTTCCAAAATGGTTCTGAACTCATCTGTAGACAACTCTCTTTTTAGCGATATCTTCTCACTTGTAGTTTTTGCTTTATCTACCATACTGCAAAATTCCATATAATTTCTGCTGTAACATTCAACTTGGCCCAGTGAACAACTCTGAAGAGACAGAAGGCTCAGAACCTGCACAATTAAAATGGTAATAAATAATAAAGTAAAACTCTGAAAGTCAAAGGTCAATATAACCCTGTAATGGTTTTATTTACCCATATAATCTGGTTTTAACACAACCCAATCACAATTATATAGACATGGGAAACACAAAAAATGGAATCAAGCATGAGTATCGGTACATTATAAATTTACTCATTTTAATTTTTTATGAAGTTCTCAATACCACAAAAACATCAATTGGTGCTACTTACTAGGACCCTATAAACCTACTTATAAATATACTTCAAACTTATAAAAAGTAGTGCCTTGTGCTGAGTATAACTTTCTCTTTTCAATTAATCATTTTAAAAATATACAATAATGAAAGAATCCCCCAAAATTACCCACACTCCTCCACACACACACACACACACACACACACACACACACATCTTAAATAAAATAACCTAATGATGGTTGGCCTCTATGAGCTAAAGAATGCTGAATGTCATTGTTTAATATCTGCAATTTCTTTTTTTTAATATACAGGGAAGTTTCTTATAGTGTAGTCCTAACTCAAAGATGTGTCATCTGTAGCTAATTTGATTATGACAGAATGCAAACCTCCAATGCATATTACAGTTCACATTTACAGTTCACATTTAAGGTTATACAGCACATTAAAGAAAGTTGCAGGCAAGTCTGAATTCAAGTCATTAATGCACTTCAGCAGATCCAAGTGTACCCCAGATCCCAGGGTGAAATATTTCCACACATTGCAGAATGAATTCTGAATTGGGGGGGGGGGGGGGGGGGGAAGAGACTGCCAAGTAAATGTCCCAAATGCATGACTGGTTAGTAAGGGGCTAACTAACCTGCTCAGAGAAGTAATTGCTTATCTTCTCTATCTGTCAATCTCTCCCCCCCCCCCAAACTGATTTAATTGATTTAACCACCCCTCTGTCCACAAACAAGTTCCAGATTTGTTAATGTCACCCACAAAGCAACACCAGTTCCTTCCAAACCTGTTCCAAGCTGCATTATAGTGTCAGTGTAGATGCACACTTAGTTATTTCTACTATGATAGCTTTCCAGAGCTTTAGGAAAAGTTGTTCTCAAAACCTACCTGAAAATGTCAGGGATTGAGCTTGGGACTGTGCATAAAACCCCAATGTTCTCTACTAATTAACTATACCCACACTTCCCATTGAAATAGTAATACGTTTATATTTGTTAAAATTGTTCTTCATTTTAATTATTGTATTGTTTTTAAGTGGGGTTTTTTTTGCACTACAAATAAGATATGTGCAGTGTGCACAGGAATTCATTCATGTTTTTTTTCAAATGATAATCCGGCCCTCCAACAGTTTGAGGGACTTTGACCTGGCCCTCTGTTTAAAAGGTTTGAGGACCCCTGGCTTAAAACAACAACAGGAAACTCCTGTTTTTTAGCAGCTGAATGCACTTTGAATCTGTGCTCAAATATTTTCAGGTTTGTGGTAAATCCAAAAATACTCCAGTAGTGAGTTGGGGCCTGTAATTTGTGATTGTGGGAACCTTGAGGGCATCACTTCCTCGTGGTCATGGTGCCAAACATTTTAACTCCAGCAATCGCAGAGAGATTGAGACTGCAAGGCCATTACTATCCTCTTTGACCCTATATGCTTTATTTTAAAAAAGAAACAAATCTGCAATTTACTGCCAATTCTAGACACTTACAAGGAATTTCCTTCTTGATAAGAATTTCCATACTATTTGCTAACTTTTATGTTGTTTTGTGACCATACAAGCAATTTGTTGGAACCAAACTGCAGCAAACCACAGCCTGAGAATATTTGGGAATGAGAAATAGGCCTCTCCCTTGCAGAATACACAAACCAGGGAAAGGATTTTAATTGCAAAATGCATTTTTCCATCTTTGTTAATTGAAATCACCACTTTGCAAAACAAGCAAGTCCTACAAGCCAGCATGCACAAGTTTGACAATGAAAAGTAGCCCTCTCCTTTGTAGAATACCCAAAACAGGGATAGACTAGGTAATGCAAAATGTGTTTCCCTTTTTATTAATATTTAGTGTTTTAAAGGGATGTCACTTGTAAATATGAGGAATTATTTAATCAGAAATCTCATCTCATGGGATTTTGGACTTACAGGGTTACACAAATTGTCTGGAAAGGGGGGCATAGTGAATGGGCAAAGTGTGGAGCTCTAGTGAGCTAGTGGCCATTGCCAGGCACTTTTGCTGACATCAGTAAAGGAACACAGCAATGGCCCACCAGCTCTTTAGAACTCAATGGTTTGCTGTCACAATGTTTTTTTTAAAAAAGCAAGGACAGTAGACTCCATACCAATTCAGCAGGATAGAAGAAGGAAGCATAGCCACCCCTGGAGTACTGCCATCCGGACTGGCTTCAGATTTTGTGGCTCATATAGATTAGCCCTATTCTTTATCCCTTCTGTATTATTTGCTGCCTTCAATAGGTAGCTTGAGAATTTTGGAATATTAAAAATTACAGAAAATGAGAGAGAAAAACCTAAATGAGTTGACAAATGCAGGAAAATAAGAAATAAAGGAGACAGAGATGAGGAAAGTATCAAACCTGAAAAGAATTTGATTCCTGCCTCAGTCTGCTGGCACAAGGGATTGCTTATGTGCTTGCAGATTGCTCCTCCAACCATCCAGAGAATATAAATAACTTTTACAATACACACAGATAAGTTGATGGCTGAAATAAAATTTCACCAAAATATTCTTTCAGTTCCCCAAAGCTGATTCTTACATAATTTTACTTTCAAAACCTACTTTGTTTTCATAATCTGGATCTGTTCCCAGAATGAGATCACAATGTGGCCATGTTGTTACATAATCTTCTGGTTCAGAATCAGTGTAAGTCTCATATGACTGCATTCCTTTATTTAAAGACTGATCAACAAAGATTGATAGTTGAGGGTCTTGAGAAAATGGCACAATCTGATCTAGTGAGAGATAAATAAAAATATGTATGAACTCAAAAATTAATTGTGCAGCATTCAAAATAAGTGCTAAAATCCACAGTGTTGTACAAGTACTGAATCTCAGTTAAATCCTGCATCACATAATATAATTTAAAGAACAAATACCAGATTTTTAATACTACAAAATAACATATCCAACCACAAAGAAGTAACAGAAAATGCTCACATCACATCCCACAAGAAAGCATTTAGTTGAATCTAACCATTTATTTTTTAAGGAATATGATGACCATACATAGTTTTAGATCAAGCTAACAGTTTTTATATATTTTATCTAGGAAAGTAATCAATCTGATTAAACTGCAAAGGACAATGAAACTAATTTTTCTAACTTCATTAATGTCAAAGTTAGTGGCTTCCAACAAAAAATTAAAAATCAGATTTGTTGATTTCAGTAAGGATGCTTCTTACACAGAAGGAATGGTTGAGACACTTATATTCGAGGGTCCACATACAGTAATAAAAAATATTGCAATTGCTGCAGTGATCCTACAAACAACTGAAAAGCAGACTATAATGTTAAAAAAAGATTTAAAAAATCTTTGGACTAAGAAATGGATCCAAGTATAAATCCCACAATCATTGCATTCCTTCTAGTCAAAAGATTGTCCCACAGATGTCATTTCCCATGACTATATGGGCGAAGTTGTATATTACAAGTTATTGTATGCTGTCCTATCAGCAAAGATGGCACTGGGCATCTCTATTTTGTTGTTTAAGGAACAAAACCTAAGAGAGTTCATCCTACAACAGTTTCCAAGCAAATTAATGATAATTTTTAAAATAATCATAGTTTTATTTCTTACCTGCCTCTCCATGTGACATGAAGTGGGTTACATAATAACAGAAATTAATATGTTTGATAAAAGCTAATGAATATACCTTCTAGGTTGCTATTTTCCTGTATAATGTATAAGTATAAATGATTTTCTAAAGAACAAGAAATCATCTATACTTATACTAGACCTCTTTCTTTCAATAATCAAATGCACCATCACCACAATGTTTAGCTCGTCACCTAGTAGACGATCAGTACTGGATAAATTAATAAGTGATCATTATACTTAGAACTGCATATTTATTAACATAGGTTACTTACCAATAGCATTTTCCAGTCCATCCAAAATTCCTTGCAACTCTACTGAAAACTCTCTTCTGTTGGGAGTTAGATATACACCTGTAGAGAATTCTGGAGAACTACAAAAGAAAATAATATATTTTGTCAGCAAAACATCTTCAGAAAAAATATGGTATATTTCAATTACACATATTCATTAGTTTGCTTTATATATTTTTTGCATTTTATCTGATTTGTTTTGCAACTGCATTTCACATCTTTGTGTTATTTTATTCCTTCCTCTGTGTGCATATATTTTATATTGTATGCCTTTGGAAAGGAGAGAAGAGTAAGAAATAAAATGATTATTTTTGGTTTTGGTTATTTACCAGGTATGCTTGATGGCACTATATATATATAAATAAATGATAATAATAACAATATTAATAACAACAACAGAGTATATGTGAGAGACTGAAATTAGATTCAACAGTAAGTGTGCTCGCTCCTCCCTATGACTTTTCCTCACATATTTATACAGAAGTGCTTCCTCCTCCCCAGTTTCCATGACTATATTTTTTTATGGCAGACACATATCTGAGGAGATTGGGGGTCCGTGCACTAAAACACATTGAGAGAGTGGAGGTGTGAAACTGATAGTGTGAATTCACATTTGACCCCCTGAAGAAAAGCAGTTATAGGTGAACAACCTGTTTTTAAATCCTGTTTTGTGTCCAGTTGTATCTTGTCTGACAGGAATGGAACTGGAAGTTGGCCCAGAAAAACCGCACAAAATCTACTAACCCAAAATTCCCCAAAGCAGATAAGAGCAAAGCAGACAGCCATCTCCCAAAGCGAGGTTCCACTGTAGTTCTATTTGATGATAATAACACAATATGCTAACTACTTAGATAAAGATTTAGTATCTACTACAACGTATCACAATTACATATGTAATGTGTAAAACAAGATTCTTATGATTATACATACCTTGCATATGAGATTGATTTATTACTGGATTCAGAAATAGATTCTTGATCTAGAACTGACAATAAAAGCAAATGTAATTAACCAAATAGCTTTTGAAAAACCTCTTTTCTAACTGGTTGTAATATTCCTGTTTATTTGATTGTAAATTGTAAATTGTTCCAGAAGGTGAGAGATTTGTATCTTGGTTCAAATATCAAACGGATAATTTATTGGGAATCCCACACCGGAACAACATATTTTATGTGGTCAAGACCCAAAAATAACATATACAAAAGCTCTTTTTTAAGCAAAGAGAACCATATATGTGGGGCTGATCGGCTTAAAAACTACAAGCCCCATAATTCCATAGCTTTGAATCATGGCAGTTAAAAGTGATGTCAAATGGCATTATTTCTACAGTGTAGATGTATCCCTGTTTTGGAACAGCAAGAAGAGCAGAAGAGAAAAGCAAATGCTTACAGCTTTTATTAATTAAATGAAAATTGCTGACATGCTTTCCATTATCATGGAGAGATGCTTTCGAGAGTATCTTCGAAAGTTATAAGTGACTCTATAATGGTGTATGCTGAGTATAGAGTACCTCCAAAAATATTTTAAATGTTCTGCAATGTTAACTATTTCTTACAATACCGTACAGGGAAACATTGCCTTTTTAATGGGATTTTGGTGCTCACATAGTCATATTGTCCCTGTACAATTTAAGTTTTGGAATGGTCGTACAACTAATGTCACCCTGAACTACAGATTTGATTTTGTTCAATAGCAAACATAGCATTAAGCACAAAGAATACTGTAGCTCTTACCATTAGAGTTCTTCTTTCCACTACGGTGTGCATTTGACTCCCATGTAGAAGTTTCTTTGCTGTCACGCTGAGCTAAATTTTTAGAATCTTCACTATGTTCTAACTCTTCTTTCACATATTCTAATGGTGTTTCTGACAGATAATCCTCATCATCTTGATAATATGTTCTACAGTAGTCCTTTTCATAAGGAATTCTCAGACATATATTTACTTCAAATATTGGTGAATATTCTGCTTCTCCTTTCAGAAGCCTTTTTACATCTTCCAGAATCTAAGGATGTACACAGTTATAACTGAAACTAAAATGACTAACATTTTACATTTTTCTTTGAAACTTTTATAATGCAAATGACAGAGCAACTGTACAATACTGAAGACAATTCTACAAAAAGAATTTATTTCTAAAATCAAGTATTCTAGAGGAAAATACTAACATAGGTAAGAGTAGAAAATGAAGATGATAAACCATGGTATTAATTCATTCATCATATGGTCACTTTTAGTCAATTAAGCAAATTTAAGCATAGTCTGTTTTAAGGAAAATATGTGTGCTGAGAAAGTGATTAATTTCTGTAACATTAGGCATTTCAAATTTCCCATAGCCAATGATAAGATTTAGGATAGTCAAATTGCATTCTGAAATTAATGAATCTGTGATACACCCTGCTCTCATCCTCTGGAGACGATGACAGCAGGTTGTATGAATACACAGACACCCTCTAAAAGAACCAAAGCTGTTCTTTCCAGTCTCTGTGATTTATGGGAGAGAAACAAAAACTAACTTCCTAAAGATTGTGAGTCATGCCAGGACGAATGATACAAATGCAAAGTGGCCATGTCCAGGTGGAATATTCCACTGTGAGGAATAAGAGGAGATTATGGCACTTAAAAAACTGGACAGGTTGAGGAAAATTTAGAAACACAGTTGGCAGGACTACCACAGAGTGATCAGATTATTATCTTCCCTCAATCTTTGTGATAACCCTCATGAAGATAGAATGGGAGGGAAAACATACAGCATGGGGGGAAAAAAACCCTCTGTACCTTGTTAGTTGCTAGAAATAAGCTTTCAAACTACTTTTTAAAGAAAGTGTACAGGTAGATTTTAAAATTACATTCCACTGAAGAAGCCAAAAATATCTTTAAGCCAGAATGTATTGGGTTCAACAATTAAAAAAACTCTACACTTTGTATCTTTTCCACATCTCCTTTGTTTGTGTCCCACAATGAGGCATAAACCCAGACTGGAATGGATCCAAGCAATCCATTTCATCCAAGAAATCATGGAGTTGAGGTGCCACAACTAGCTTTGGGTTCTTAATTTAAAGGGAGAAATTGGAGACTGTTCGATAGTTACCTAAAGAGGTGGGGTCCAGTGAAGGTTTCCTCAACAAAGGTCTCATAATTGCTTTTTAAAGAGAGGTTGGAACATATTTTTCTTTCAAAGAAGCATTTATAGCCTCTGTCACTCCACTGGCCAGTTCTCTAACATTAATTGGCTAGGATGACATCAAAGTAATAGACAAGCGTCACCTCTCCAAGAAACTTGACAATTACATAATGTTGAACAAACTGAAACTCATCCATCAAAACCAGACAAGTATGTGCCTAAGAAAACAACTTGCCTTGTCTATATCACTGGTGGTAATAATGTCTTGTGGAATTTCATGTTCCTTTGGAGGGCATGATAATTCCTGAGGTCCTTGAAAATAATTGTTTTGATGCATCCAGGGACATCGGATTTCACTGAGCAAAAGATCATCTGCTCGCTCAATTGTTTTTTTAAATGATCTGCATATGTGGAAAGATCTTAAATTAAATTTTCAATAAGGTTATTCATTTTTAATAATTTATTCAATGTTTCCAAATACCTATTTTCTTGAAGATGCTTAGGGCAGCACATATGGGTCAATCTTGTTGATGAGTGCCCATTGCATGAAGGAGGGGCACATCATATCTTCTCACTTGTATAATCCCAAAAATATAGATTCACCAATAAAAACACCAAAATTACATGCCTTCTTACTGAGTGTTTTTTTCTCATAAACTTTTGTGAATTAAAGGCTACTTCAGTAGCGAGATGAGCATTGTTACAGTTGGTACTGTATTATATACACACATAGGAGAATATGACAGAACAAAAAAGCTAAAAGTACCAATTTTGCTCATTACTTTAATGGTGGTTACTAAAAATACAAGGATAACAAAAACATCCAAGCACAAAAACTGATTATGATATTCAATTGTCTTTGCCCTACTGAATCAAAAGAGACAGGGAAACCCATGATACATTTGTGGGTGAGAAACTATAACCAGTAGAGCCAGAAGAAACAAATGAAAAACATGCGAACAGCTATAATAAAACATTCATTAATATTGAGTGTCTTCAAATAATTTCTGATTCATAGTGAATCTAAAATAAACCTATTCTGACGGTTTTTGGCATGTTTTGATGACAGGGGGTTCACCCAAGGTCACCTAGTGTCTTTTCCTGATCAAACAGGAATTCAAATTCGGCACTCCAATCCTTCATTGACTGCAAGACTCCAAGTCTTCACTCTGCCAGCCCATTCTCAGAAGGAGTATATGGGTTTGTGGTCTTATCCCTTTTTGTTTCAGCCAATTTGGAAAATTGTTCCCACAGAACTTTCCACCTCTATCTGTGGTTAGATATGCTCCAAGTGACTGTCAAACTCCAAGCTCCAAGTGGGTACAAAATTCACACATACAACTACATAAACATCATGAAAAAATATTAAAATACACTAAAAATACGAAGTAAATATTGCTTAATTATTCATGTTTACTGGTTACAATCAGTAGATGAGAAGGCTATATAGATTGTACTTATTGAGAAAATTAATTCTGGGATGATGAGGAAGAAACCATTACCAATGGGTCTTCCCACGTGCCAACCCATGCACCTGCAGGATGTTCTTTTTAGGGTTATTTTCATTGCAGCCACTCCCTTCTCCTTTAATTTTTTCCCAAAGATTTGCCCAACTAAACATCAAACCTATCTATTCTAGCTCAAAACAGTTAAACAACCTAACAACTAAATAGCTTATACAAAGGGCGGGCTTTCAGGGGGCTTTGGGTGAATTTGGGAGGAAGTGGGGGGGAGGGGGGGCTGTGAGTTTTAATGGCTATTTTAAGTGTATCTATTATATTTTAATGTTTTTACTACACTGTACTATTTTATTGTTTTATAACTTTTGTTTTAAAACTTGACTAATGAGTGGAATTGTTAGTTGCCTTGAGTCCCCATGAGGAGAGAAGCGGGATATTAAAAAAGTTAATGATAATAATAATTGGGTTGTTGTAGGTTTTTCAGGCTGTATGGCTATGTTCTAGAAGCATTCTCTCCTGACATTTCACCTGCATCCTCAGAGGTTGTGAGGTTTGTTGGAAACTGGAAAATTAGCTTTATATATCTGTGGAAGGTCCAGGGTAGGAGAAAGAACTCTTGTCTATTGGGGCTCAGTGTGACTGTTTCAATTGGCCACCTTGATTAGCATTTGATGGCCTGACAGTTTCTAGGTGTGCCTTGTTACAGCCTGGGGGAATTCCCTGTTGAGAGGTGATTAGCTGTTCCTGATTGTTTCTTCTCTGGAGTTCCCCTGTGCTTAAGTTTTGTTCTTTATTTCCTGTTATAATTTTAGAGTTTTTAAAATACTGGTACCCAGATTTTGTTCATTTTCATTGTTTCTTCCTTTCTGTTGAAATTGTTCACATGCTTGTGGATGTCAATGGCTTCTCTGTGCAGCCTGACATGGTAGTTGTTAGAGTGGTTCAGTATTTCCGTGTTCTCAAATAAAGCTATGTCCAGGTTGGTTCATCAGGTGCTCTGTTATGGCTTCTGCTCTCCTGAAGCTCTACGTTCTTTTGACATATATTTTCATCACCTGTTATGTCAGGATTTGGAAATTACCTAATATTTTCTAAGTGATAGCAGAGTTAATAACTCTGGCCTAACCACCTGTAAAAGAGCTAAGCCACTGTAATTAGAGTGTGGTGGTTAATGCAATGATAGTAGTATATAGACTGTAGCTATAATTTATTCACAATCTAAAAATCAAGCAAGAAAAGCATCCAGGAATGAAGGCCAAAGAGGAAGGAAAGTGCAGAACAATTAATTTGATGCTGCTAAAGCATCATACAGACAGAAAAAAGAAAGAGTTTAGGCAACAAGCAAAGGGATAAGATGCCTAAAGGTGGACTGGGTTACCACCAAAAATCTTATGTAATAACTCTAGAAAATTCTGAACGATGCTTTGTGGAAGCACAAATTACCCATTTGTGTGAATTCAAAGATCATGAAAAACACTGATTACACACAGGCCCTTCACTTACTATATATCTCAATGTTCATTCATATGCATATTAACAAAGATATTCAGAAACTAAACTATGAAGCATGAAGTTTTAGACATAGACCTTAGTTATAAACATGGAAAACAACCTTATAAGCTTCTCATTTGTCTTCTCTTTTGGAGCAACCGTCATACTGGAACCTTTGAATATTTCCAAAAGATGATCAATAGCATTGTGAACCAATCTGCGAAGTAGTTCTTGAAAGATTCTATCAACAAGCTGAAGAAATCTAGAAAACCTCTCCATAATATATCGCCATTCAGCCTTTTCAAAGTGTTTTGAATTTTCTGTGACATCATCTGGAAAATGTTGAAAAAGCTTTTCTGCTCCTTTCATTTCAGCCACCTAAGTAGTTCAGAATAAATTATGAAAATGAATCAATATGCTAAATATCCTCCTTTCATCAGATAAAATATGTCAATTTTATTATACTAAATCTCTAGTTATCATGAGGACTTCAAATTAGATAATGTGTTGTGGAAGTAAATTTAAAATTTATTCTCATACTAATAAAATTACTGCTGATGGCTCCATTGTCAGCGAAGTAGCAAATGTACTCTGGTTTTAGTCCAGATAGTAAATGAGTGATCCAAACTGCTCAGTCTAGACTGAAAATGCTTCAGCACTTTCGAGAGCTCCTTTAAAGTTCTCACTGGAAAAGCTTCTCTTTATACCCCAGTCACTAAAAAATGAAGTACTGGTGTATCCTTCATCATCTCACTGATCAACAATGAAGAGAGGCATGTGCTACTCTTTACTCCACTCCTTGAGCCCTCTTTTAAGTATGGCTTTATTACTTACTTACTTACTTAGGCGATCCCTCGTAGTCCAAGGATGATGGTCCTCCAAGTGTAGTATCCTGGCGGTGGGTCTGGAGGTGACTGTGGAGCCCTATTCTTGATCTACATCTTCTCCCACAGTGAGGGCATCAGTTTCCAGGTGGAAGGCGGTCCCGCTCAGGGTTGGCTTGACGCACCTTCCTCTTGGCACATTTCTCTTTTTCGCCCTCCATTCGTGTCTCTTCAAATTCGGCAGCACTGCTGGTCACAGCTGACCTCCAACTGGAGTGCTCACAGGCCGGGGCTTCCCAGTTCTCAGTGTCTATACCAGAGTTTTTAAGGTTGGCTTTGAGCCCATCTTTAAATCTCTTTTTGTGCCCACAAACATTCCGTTTTCCATTCTTGAGTTTGGAGTAGATCAACTGCTTTGGGAGACAGTGGTCGGGCATCCGGACAACATGGCCAGTCCAGCGGAGTTGATGGCGGAGGACCAGCACTTCAATGCTGGTGGTCGTTGCTTCTTCCAGCACGCTGACATTTTTCCACTTGTCTTCCCAAGAGATTTGCAGGATTTTTCGGAGGTAGTGCTGATGGAATCGTTCCAGGGGTTACATGTGACGTCTGTAGACTGTCCACGTCTCGCAGACGTATAGCAGGGTTGGGAGGACAATAGCTTTATAAACAAGCACCTTGGTATCCCTATGGATGTCCCGGTCCTCAAACACTCTCTGCTTCATTTGGAAAAATGCTGCACTCGCAGAGCTCAGGCGGTGTTGTATTTCAGTGTCAATGTTGACTTTTGTGGAGAGGTGGCTGCCAAGGTAGCGGAAATGGTCAACATTTTCTAATGTTACACCATTAAGCTGTATTTCTGGCATTGGAGAGGGATTGGCTGGTGACTGCTGGAAGAGCACTTTGGTTTTCCCGATGTTCAATGACAGGCCGAGCTTCTCATATGCTTCTGCAAAGGTGTTTAGAGTGGCTTGTAGGTCTTCTTCTGAATGCGCACAGATGACGTTGTCATCAGCATACTGGAGTTCTATAACAGATGTTGTAACCTTGGTTTTGGCTTTCAGTCTGCTGAGGTTAAATAGCTTGCCATCTGTCCGATAGATGATTTCCACTCCGGTGGGAAGCTTCCCATCAACAAGATGAAGTATCATAGTGATGAAGATGGAAAATAAGGTTGGGGCAATAACACATCCCTGTTTGACACCTGATTCCACCTTAAATGGGTCACTTTGGGAGCCATTGCTGTCCAAGACTGTTGCCATCATGTCATCATGGAGGAACCACAGGATGTTCACAAATTTGTTAGGGCACCCGATTTTTTGGAGGATGGTCCAGAGAGCGCTGCAATTCACTGTATCAAATGCCTTTGCAAGGTCAATGAATGCCATGTACAGTGGTTGATTTTGTTCCCTGCATTTTTCTTGGAGCTGTCATGCAGTGAAGATCATGTCCACTGTTCCTTTGGAGGGGCGGTAACCATTCTGGGATTCTGGGATTCTTTCATTAAATCCTTTGGTTCCATATGATGAGCGATTCAGGAGGCTTTGGTAGTGTTCTTTCCAACATAGTGCAATTGATTTTTTGTCCTTCAGAAGTTTGGTTCCATCTGATGAGCGTAGAGGCTGTATGCCATGGTTTCTTGGTCCATAGATGACCTTTGTGGCTTTGAAAAATCCCTGAGCATCATGGGTATCTGCCAGGTGTTGAATTTCTTCAGCCTTCTTTGCCCACCAGATGTTCTTGAGTTCTCTTGGCTTATTATGGTGCATTTGTTAAAATGATGCCATTGTGGAAACGCTTCATGCAGAATGCATATTATTATGACTTGTGAAAAACCTAATGAATTCATTGGTGGGTGAACCTGGCCAGAATGCCTCAGTTGAAGATTTGATTCCAGCCAGGCGTGGGTCTATTTTACCTTTACTCCTCTATGCTCAGCCTGTGGTTGGGCTCATTGATCAACAGGCAGGTTGGCTGTCACCTGGATCCAGACTCATACATGTGCCAACCCTGTCAGCAGTTCTAAACAATAAAAGTTCTTTCATTCAATCCTTTGTATTGGTGTGTGGAGTAGGACTCACCCCTGAATGCTCATTTTGATTTAAAATACATTAGTTGTTACAAGAAACTTTTTGTGTTGGACAGACAGGAAAAATAAAAATAGAAGGAGAAGGGCTCAGAGGGAGTAGGAAAAAAGAGGGATATGACATAGTGCTAGCCGGTGAAGAATACATTTATAAAACTAGATTTATACACTGCACATTTTCTTCTAATGGATGAGAAGTACTCCTGGATGGGATAGATTTGACCCTGGGACAAAGAAAACTGAACTTAAGCTGTCAACTACAGTTGGGAACTACGCACAAATATATAGAATGGTTAAGGAACTTAGAAGAAAAATGCAAAACTTAAGCAGTTAAATATAGTTGTCATTTAGGAAACTGTGTAGGGAAGTTAAAATAGCAATGAAAATATTGCAAAGCGAATGAAATCTAGTAAACTGGAGTAGCATTCTAGAGCAATGGAACTAGAAACTAGAGAACACATGGCATTTAAGACATGCAGAGGCGGCCCTAGGTAATTTTCAATGGTAAGCAAACAGTATTTTGGCGCCCCCCCCCTCCCCCGCCCCAACCAATCACTGATATATATTTTCTGTTCGTCGTGGGAGTTCTGTGTGCCGTATTTGGTTCAATTCCATCATTGATGGAGTTCAGAATGCTCTTTGATTGAACTATACATCCCAGTAAATACAAAATCAACTATACTGCAAATGCTTACTTTGCGTAATGGGTTGAGCTGCCCCTGAAGACATGAGTGAACACATATTTTTTAAATTTAAAACTTTATTTTTAACAATCATATTGCAGAGATAAATATAGGTTGCTTACCTGTAAACATAGTTTCCCGAGTGGTAGCCTGTGAATTCACACATGTGGTAATTCCTGCGCGTGCGCAGGCAGCAACGGACATTCACGAGCTAACTCCCAACTGACCGTAATAAAAAGAAATTCTGGGCATGACCACAGAGTGGGGAGGACGGGTGGGGATGTGTGAATTCACAGGCTACCACTCGGGAAACTATGTTTACAGGTAAGCAACCTATATTTTCCCCGCGTGGCTAGCCTGTGAATCACACATGTGGTAGACTAGCGAGCTGCTAACCTCGGTGGTGGGTGTCATGCCACAGCTGAAAATTTTTTTCATATTGCAGAGATAAATCATCAGACATATACTTTTCCACTAACTATCTCATCCAGGGTTTTATCAATTTTATCCGGTGCATTTGGCCTGCCCACTGTGTGTTATTTTTCTATCATGTTATTTGCAACTGTTTATTCTATATTTTGTTATATTATTTATGTTATTTAATGTTATTATTTCTTTCTTTTTATTTTATTTTGTTGTACTGTAATTTCGGGTGTGGCCTCATGTTAGCCACCTCGAGTCCCCTTCGGGGAGATGGTAGTTGGGTACAAATAAAGTTTTATTATTATGTATAAATAAAACACATACTTCAGAACAGTGCCTACATTAATTGTTCCTCATTACACTATTTTCCCCCTTTCACCCCTCCTGTTGCAGAGACCTCTTGTCATTTGGGTTGAAGACATTCAAGGTTCCTTCCCTGGGAAGGAATCTTGTCCTTCCTTCCGAGTAAAACATTCACCCATTCCTCCATTTAGCACAAGAATAATCATCTAAAAATTACAAGAAAAGTCACCGAAGTGTTAACCCTCTATTTCTATTTCTATATATTTTCATCTGTTCCTTCTTTTATGTCAGCCAATCCCATGCCTAGCTTTCCTTCTCTTGCTTCCACTGGTGTAAATAAGTCCATTGGGTATTCTCTTCTTTCTGTTTCTCCAGCATTGCTGTTTTTCCCAGCAGTTCTTGTACTTGATGCACCACCACCATCATGTTAGTTCTCATCTGGGTAAACGATTGTCTCACTTTTTAAAATTCTGCTATCACTTTGACCTTAATTCCCACAAATAATAATAATACTAATAATAATAATAATCCTTTATTTATACCCCGCTAACATCTCCCGATTATTTATTTATTTATTTACTTATTTCGCGCATTTCTACCCCGCCCTTCTCAACCCCCGAGGGGGGACTCAGGGCGGCTTACAAAAAGGCACAATTTGATGCCAACACAGACAATAAGATAAAAACATATATAACATATATAGGACTCGGTGCGGCTTACAAGAGGCCAAGGCCCAACACATCAATAAAACAACAGCATAACAAATACAACAATAAATAAACCACCCTGGCCAGATCAGCCTTCATGAGGTACGGTCGCAGTTGGGGCACGAGTCTCAGTTGTGCAAAAGCCCTCCCAGCCACCGCCGACGCCTGAGCTTCAAGCGTAAGTGAAGAGTCCAAGAGGACCCCCAAACTGCGGACCTGTGACTTCAGGGGGAGTGTAACCCCGTCCAGCACAGGTTGCCACCCTATAACCCAATCCGGTTTACGATCGACCAGAAGGACCTCTGTCTTGTCGGGATTAATCTTCAGTTTATTCATCCTCATCCAGACAGCCACAGCGGCCAGGCACTCGTCCAGCACCCGAGGGGCTTCCTTGGAATTAGGTGCAAAGTAGTAGAGTTGTGTGTCATCTGCATAGAGATGTCACCCAACTCCAAAACTCCGGATGACCTCTCCCAGCAGTTTCATGTAGATGTTAAAAAGCATGAGAGATAGAATAGAGCCTTGCGGGACCTCACAGGTCAAAGGCCAGGGGTCCAAGCAGGCATCTCCCAGCTTCACCATCTGGGATTGACCCTCCAGGAAGGACCGGAGCCATGACAGAACTGTGCCCCTGAGACCCATCCCAGAGAGACATCCCAGAAGGATACCATGATCGATGGTATCTAAAACCGCTGAGATGTCCAAGAGAACCAACAGGGTCACACTCCCCCTGTCCAGTTCCCTGAGGAGGTCATCCACCAAGGCGACCAAAGCCATCTCGGTGCTGTGGCCAAGCCTGAAGCCAGACTGTGACTGGTCCAGGTAATTGATGTCATCTAGAAAGCCCTGGAGCTGGGAGGCGACCACCCGCTCCAGCACCTTGCCCAAAAAAGGGAGGTTGGAGATTGGTCTGTAGTTGTTCAGCACCATGGAGTCAAGGGAAGCCTTTTTCAGGAGTGGTCAGACCACAGCCTGTTTTAGTCAAGATGGAAAAAAACCCCTGCTCCAGATCTGGATGAACTGATTTCTCATTGCTTGGACCTCTGCCAGAATCATCTGATTTAAATCTCCCATTTAAGCTGGTATTTCAGCTGATGTTCATTTTTTCTTATCTATATGTATAAAAATGTAATGTTCATTTGTGGGACGCACATAACTCCAAAAACCACTGGACAAAATGACACCAAATTTGGCCACAAGACACCTACTAACCCAAGAAGTGACCATCACTCAAAAAATCACAAAAAAAGTGAAAATAACTTTAAAATTTAAAAAAGGTAGGAAATGACACAATGCATGCACAGAAATGCATTCCATGACCCCACCCCTCCTGTTCGAGGACACAGCAAGCGCAAGAAGCACCAGCAACCATCCTCCCTCTTCCAGCCAGAGCAGGAGCTAGGAACGGATGGCATAATGGTGGGTCCGGTAAGGGGGGAGGGGAGCCTCATCCGTCACCAGAGATAGAAGGAAAGAAGGAGGAAAGGAAGGAGATAAGGAAAGGAGAGAAAGAGGGAAAGAAGGAAAGAGAGAAGGAAGAACGAAAGCAAAGAGCAAAGGAAGGAAGGTAAGAGGTAGAGAAGGAAGAAAGATGAGAAAGAAAATGGGAAAGAAAAAGGGAGGGGAAGGAAGGAAAGAGGTAGAGAAGGAAGGAAGAAGGAAAGACAAAAAGGGAAGAAAGGAAAGAGGGAGGAAAGGAAGGAGAGAAAGAAAGGCGACAAAGAGGGAGGGAAGGTTGGCCACAGCAACGCGTGGCGGTTACAGCTAGTTTAAATATATAATGTCTATGTCCAGGAATTACTTAGTATTTCAAGACGGCACAGCTGTTTGGTTGGAATCCTTCTTCTATTGTAGTTATCTCACTTCCTTTCATAATGATTCTGTATTTCAGCCTCTCATTTCTTCAGTCATATGTCTTCTATGTAGTGTTTATTTCAATTTGTATGTGTACAGTCGCGTAGGTATTAAATGGCTTATTATCACAATCTCTCTTTGTAGCCATGTATTGTACTTTATTGATACAGGTGTGACCTTGATACTGAATGTAGTCATAACAATGCAGGGCTCTCAGCTTAGTTCTTTTTCAAGTAAAAACTTGTATACATAATTATATAATTCCAAAATAGTTCCAAAATACAATTTATTTTGTATTATGAGTAGAGTTATATTTTCAAAACCAACTCAAAACGTGTAAAGTAGATAAGGAGATACTTTTTTCTTCTCCTCTGGATGAGTTAAACATGTTCCTGTTGTTATTATTGCCACTATCATTTGAATGAAAGTTAAATGTAATTAAATATCCTACCTCAAAGGACTTCCTTGCACTGTTTCTTGTTGTGTGTTTAGTTTCTTTTCTGGAAATTCAGCTTTGATTGAAGCTTTGTTCCCAAAACAATAGTCTTGTTGCAATTTAAACACAGTGTGGCTTATTGTTTTTCCAGGGCCCCCCTCTGACTTTATGTATATACCACACAAATTACTACTCTAATGTCATTTTGGGGGGCTCAAGCTGCTGCACTACAACTCCCTTATACCAAGGGAAGATTTTCCTGTTTAGAAGTTATTGCTTTGCAGCGACCACTGTGTTTCACTTCCTCTCCTCAGAGAGCTGTGAGGAGAGGACCTTGCTCCTCCACAGTCAAATTGGAAGTCCTGAACACATAAAATTCAGCATGTTATGGAAACCATTGTGCCTAGGCTTTTTTTAATGTTGATCAGCCATTTGCAAATTTACATCTCAGATCTCCTCTTACAAATTCAGATTAGTAATTTTTAAAACCCTGTCAGACACAACACAAGATCACCAGGATTTCCAAAAAAAAAAGCCCTCAAGACTGGGGCAAAGATGAAACATTTGTATCAGAACTATAACTGAATCTCAGGAAGTGCTGATGACACAAATCTGGAAATGGGCCTATAATTCTGTAACTATATAGGCTGTGATACATAATCTTTTCAGGTTGTTAAGCATTTAATATGGACTTTTGATCTTGCAAGACTTTCTCGTAGTTATTACATTATTATGGTGGTCCCTAAACATGGAGGCATGATTGCTATGTTTAAAAGAATTTTATAACTTGTTACTACCACCCAGAAAAGTTATTTTTTTCATATGCCGGCTCCCAGAAACCAGACTAATGGCATCCATGATCCAGTAAATACTTATGACACACAAGTGCTCCCTAGCTATATTCCACATAACATTCAGTATTATTGAAGATCTAAAAGATCTGATACACACAAAATGCTGTTTGATATACATTTAAGGCAGAGATGGGGGAAATGCAGGTCACAAATTGTATCTAGCCTCCAAGAGTGTTTTCTCTTCATGTTCCACAGTGTTTTGTACTCATTTTTTTAAAAAGCTAAAATGTCCCACTTGGGGGTGATTTCATCATACTGACTCACCCATCCCCACTTACCCCTTAGGCAAATACCTCTGTTCTTAATTTTGCCACATTTTGTGCAGGTAAATGAATGAGAGGTGAGCTGGAAAAGTTACTTCCTTTCTGATGACAGAAGTCAAATAGTAATATCAATACTGGGGAAGGAACAAAATTCACAAAAGTCTATCTTTACCCTCACTAGTTTCACTGAAGCAAAACTGGAGTGCATTATGATTCCAGTCTGAAGAGCATCCATATTTAGGCAGAGATTCATAAAAATTATCTGTGTTAGACTCTATCTTGATTCTATTTAGCAGAATTGCCATTCTCCCTCCTCCCCTGTGATTTAAGAGGGAAAAGAAAAGATCAAGAGAAGCCTCTAGAAAAAAATGACTACAATTATTGTTTTATGGAACCTGGACCAGAAGGATTAGAGAGAAGAGAAATGTGGATGTAGTCCTCTTGACTGAAGAATGATTCAGAGATTTCAGAGTATCTCAAGATACTATGAAATATCATAGCCTTGAAATATCAGAAGCACCTTAGGAACAGAGGTGAAAGAGCAAATACTGTTTATGGTCAATTTCCGTGATAGAGAATCATAGAATCATAGAATTGTAGAGTTGGAAGAGACCTCATGGGTCATCCAGTCCAACCCCTTGCCAAGAAGCAGGAATACTGCATTCAAAGCACCCCTGAGAGATGGCCATCCAGCCTCTGTTTAAAAGGTTTGAAAGAAGGAGCCTCCACCGCTCTCCAGGGAGAACATCAGTGCAGTACTTGTGTCTACCCCTGAGTAAGTCCAATTTCTTAAAGTGGAAAGAACAAGATCTCATTCTATTCTGTATCCAATATTATATAATTTATTTATTCATTCATTTGTTTATATCTGAACATTCTTCATAAATAATCAAAGTAGCTAACAAATAATATTTGATATGGTACAATACACAAATATCATTGAAGTTCTAAATGTAAAAACTGAGCTACATAATAAATACAGTAAATATACGCAAAATAAAAATGTAAGAAATAAAGGGATTTATGATATTACCTTTAAGAAAGAGCTCTGAATTACTTTGATTACTTTGTCTTTAAAAGTTTGTACTAGAGAAAGTGCTTGTTGACTCTGTTGATATTGTTTCTCACAAAATTCATTCAAAGAGTAAGTGTGGGAAGTGTCTACCTAGTAAAACAAAGAAAAAAATCACAACAAATATAGAGATTTCCTATCAAACTTTTGACTCACATGTGAAAGTATGTTATTCTCAACATACACAAAGCAACTTGAAGAAAATTTGTTTTAAAACAAGAAAATGTATTACAAATAATGATGGGAACTTACTTTTTCAAGCTAGCAAATGTGACAACTATACAGAACATAAGAGTCAAATTAATTATACTTAGCATTACTTAAGTCCCAACTAGTACAAAGAATGAGGGGAGAGAAAAAAACAATTGACATTTAGGGTAGCATCTTGATCAGTACTTGTGACTGTAAACTGGCAACTTTTGGAAATCTGGCTTATAATGACTAGTAATAAAACACAACTCCGAAAACCTAATTCTTAGAAGGGTATCCAAGGGCAGGCCTGTAGCGAGGGGGTGGTTTTAGGGGTTCAACCCCCCCCCAAAAAATGTTTCAGATTTTTTAAAAAAACTAAATCCCCATGCTAAGTCTATGAGATGCAAAAAATTAAGAGTCCCTCCAGAACTGTAAGCACTATCTCAAGCAAATATTGACAATTTATTCACACTGTCATTACTTGCAGCAATAGCCGATGTCGCAAAGCAACCAAGTTGGGGGGGGGGGGGGGGTTGAATGCTCTCATTAAGGAGGCCAGACTTGGTGGAGGTGGTTGACAGGGCGGAGCTGCAGGCTATTGAAGGCTGCTCTGCCCCCTGCTGTGCTCTTTGCTTCAGCGTGAGCTAGGAGGCAGGTTTCAACCCCCCCTGTGAAATTTTCAACCCCCCCCCCCACCGAAATTGTCAACCCTCCCCGAAATTTTTTTCTGGCTACAGCCCTGTCCAAGGGGTTACAAATTGGGTGTTCAGGACATTGTGACTGCAGTGCTTTCCCAGAAATTTGTTGTGAACAGTTATAGCAGAACACTGAAGGATCTCTTTAGTCATCAATCTCAATGTGTCCTACAACCAGGAGAGTTCTGAGGTCAGCATTTGCCAACATCCCAATCTACAGCACCTCAGAAATTCTTCAGGTGGTGTACTGCTTGGCTTAAGAGATGAATTGGGTGGGGTGGGATGGCAGCAGCAGGAATAGTGATGACAGGTTTCAATTATTGGAGCTACATTTGATAATGAAGGATTTTGTTCATTTTCTCTCCTGTATCAGCTGAAAACAGAACTAAATACTAATTTATAGTTAGGGTAATCACATTACAGTATCTTGTTACATTTATAACCTTTTTTCCCAGTGAATTCAAGATAGCACTTTATTTTCACAGCAATGTTATGAAGTAGATTGGACTCCGATATAGTGACCGGATCAAGTTCACCCAATATTCCATTCCGTGGTGAATAACTGGAGTATGCATTAGTCGCCTAGGTTCAGTCTCCCATGGCAAGCAAGTCCTCTCTCTTTCAGCACTGCTCGAGCCACAAAAGATATTTTGAATCAATTGAGCATTTAGTCATCAACTGACTTTTACAGACAGATATTTAAAATGTGGTGTGTTTTCACTTTATGTTTTTAAATCATTTAAGTTGCTTTAAATGCCATATGTGTCTGGGCTTTCAGATAATACCTTACTTGACTATCTGTAGTTTTTAAATTATTCATGTTGTTGGCTGAGATAAGTAAACAAATACATTTAGATTAGGGTTTTTTTTGTATTCTAAATATTGTTTCTTCTCACCTTTAAAAAATGAATAGCTAGATCCTCTGAAGATTTATTTCTCTTAGGGCTACTCACATCCACGCACAACGCTTGGATATAAAGCAAGCATCTTTGCAATATCTCATCAACAAAAAACAGTTGTTTGTATATCACCATTCTATAAACAAGAAGTTTGAAATGTTAAATTCTCTTTACAGAAATATATTTGATGTCAACACTTATACTGGCATTATAAGCTGCATAGTGCATGTTCAACTTAATGATAGAAATGTGTATACTTGGAAAAATACCCCTTATTTGCTCTGGCTTTTAGAAAGAAATTAAAATCATGGTTTTGTGACCAGGCTTTTGGACAGTAGATGTATGTAGCACTTTAGAGGGACATTGACTGGAACGGCGATATGGCTAATAAGACTGTTTTACTGTTTTAATGACTGCTGATGTATTGTTTTAATTATTATTCAGGTACAATTGTGGTATTATTATTGTAATTGTTATGTAGTGGCATCGTATCGGTGCCCATTGTAAGCCATCCTGAGTCCCCCTTCGGGGATAGAGAAGTGACGGGGTAGAAATACCAGAAATAAATAAATATTTTCCTGATCCACATGAACTCATGCTTGCTACATTAGCACCATATTCAGCAATCACATCTTGGCAAGTTTGTCTTTGGCATCCTCACGTGTCTCCTGGGCAAGGTCATCTTATAATAATAATAATAATAATAATAATAATAATAATAATTATTATTATTATTATTATTATTATTATTATTATTTGTACCCTACCACCATTGTTGTTTTTTAATTGTTTTAAATTGTTTTTAAATTGTGTTAGATTTTAGCCTGTTCTTGTAAGCCACTCCGAGCCCCAGGGGAGTGGCGGCATATAAGTTTGAATTATAAATAAATAAATAAATCTCCCCAAGGGACTCAGGACAGCTCACAAAAGCACTCCAAGTGCCACGTGCAGACAATAATACATAAGTGTAAATACAATGACCTAAGTGCATAAAAATCTCATTAATAAAATTATAGAAATTTTAAAATTATAAAATTCCTAAAATTATAAAATTCCTAAAATCCACTTCCTGGCAGAAACAATCATGTGACTTGTTGGCTTTTATCAACCAATTTGGGTCACCCTCTACACCTCCTCCAGCACCAATGCAAAGTGCTCAGGACTGTTACACAAAACAAAACCTGTAAATCATTTGGATTCAAAATTCTGGGTGAAAGGCAATTCTTAATAAAGTGGTTTAAGGATCAAAGTTCCAATTGAGATACAAAATGTCATGAACCTTGTGTGTCAAGATAGTAGGCAAGAAGAACTATAATTTTTATTTTGGTCTGTGTAGACAGGGCCCTTGTTTACTGCATGATCACATTCCACCCTATTTTTTAGATTCCTGTGCAGACTTCTTGGGATGGATCTACACTGCCAAATAATGCAGTTTGAACGGCGTTATATGGTCAGTGTAGACCCATATGAGGCAATTCAATACAGTTCAGACTGCATTATATGGATCAACAACGACCATATATTGCAGTTCATACTGCAACTGCATTCTTTGACAGTGTAGATCCAGACATAGGGAACATCTACACGAACCTCTAAATCTGATGCTAGCCCAGAGCAGTAGAAATCTGATTCCTGTCCAGATGTCTTAGGACACATCTTCATATCCCACTAAATTTGAGGTTGGTACTGGTAACCCATATGAAACTCATAATTCTTAACTATGACAAATTAGATAGCCCATGCTAACCATCATTCCTCCTCTCTCCTAAGAATGTAGTAAGAGCAGTTCTGGATCAAAACAAGGGTTTACCTATTCCACTATTTGGTGACCAGATTTCTATGGTAAGCTCAGCAGCAAAGCAGTACAATTTTTTGGCTGAGAGGTTAAGTGCTATAAAGAGATAAACTGCCTCTGATAATGGAAACAATACATACTCATCATGGGGAAGAGTAATTTTGAACCTTATCTTTCAAGTGTGTATCTGCATCAACAACACACACATGAATGAATATGCCCTGCCCACCCTTCATGAATTGTTTCCAGCAGGACTGCCCAGTCAATTTTAAACTGTGAATTTTAAGTTTACTTTCTATTTGTATTTTAATATTTGTATTTATTTTGTATTTTATATTGTACTAGCTGTCCCCTGCCACACGTTGCTGTGGCCCAGTCTGATGATCTGGAAAATAATGTAATTTCTTTATGCTTGTGGGTAAACAGTATTTCTTGTTGTTTCTTTGTCAGTGTTGTTTAGATTGTCTGGTTTGCCTACTCTAGAACATGCAACATATCATTGTCCTTCTTTAGGGGTCCCTTTCAAATCTGATACTATAACTCTGTGTGTGAATCATATATATCTATCTATATCTATGGCTGGATGGCTCTTTGCCAGGAGGGCTTTGATTATGCTTTCTTGCCCTGGTGAAGGGAGTTGGACTGGATGGCCTTAAGTATGGGGGTTCTGTGTGGGAAGCTTGCCCCAATTCTGTCGTTGGTGGGGTTCAGCATGCTCTTTGCAGATGAACTATAAATCCCAGTAACTACAACTCCCAAAGGTCAAGGACTATTTTCCCCAAACTACATCTGTGTTCATATTTGGGCATACGGAATATTCATGCCAAATTTGGTCCAGATCCATCATTGTTTGAGTCCACAGTGCTCTCTGGATGTAGGTGAATTACAACTCCCAAACTCAAGGTCAATGCCCACCAAACCCTTCCAGTGTTTTCTGTTGGTCATGGGAGTCCTGTGTGCCACGACTGGTTCAATTCCATCATTGGTGGAGTTCAGAATGCTCTTTGATTGCAAGTAAACTATAAATCCCAGCAATTATAATTCCCAAATGACAAAATAAATTTTTTGAGTGATGGTCACTCCTTGGGTTAGTCAGTGTCTTGTGGCCAAATGTGGCGGCAATTCGTTCAGTGGTTTTTGTCATGCCCCTCACTTCTGGCTCATTTGCGGCGGAAGAGAACTGGTGGCTAGCCCCGCCCACAGACCATATGTACTCGAGGAGGGTGGGCGGGGCTAGGCAGGAATAAAATGTCTATTTTTATTTTCCAGAAGGTTCCGAAAGCTGTACTGTGCAGGCGCAGAGATACCAAATGTGCAATTCAGTTGACTACAACAGGAAACTTGTGAGTGTGTGTGGCCATGTGCGTGTGCTTGCATTCTGGTGCAAGTACGGTCAGCAAGTCTTGCAGGATGGTTGCATTGTATTCTCTTCCAGCAGCTTTATGATTTTAAAGCAGAGAGTCCTCCCTATGTGATGGTGAGGGCTGTTATTTTGAAGTAGAGGCAGTAGTAATAGTAATATTTTGAAGTAGAGGCAGCTATCTGGACAATTATGAAGCGGATGTACCTACCTATTAGATGTGGATGATGATATTATTACTACAACTATGAAGCAGAGGCATTGGTTATAACACTATGGTAATGAAGCAGAGATATCCAGTGTTTGGATATGTTATGAAGCAGAGGCTGAAATCCGTGTTGATGTTATCGCTATTGTGTGTGTGGCCATGTGTGTGCACTTGCAAGCATGTGTATTAGGGAAGGCTTGTTTTCTCCCTCGTGTAGGAGGGGTTGAGCCAGTATTTTATTTTTTTATTTATTTGCTGCATTTGTTGACCGCCGCTCTCAGCCCTAGGGCGACTCGCGGCGGTGTACAACATATAAAAGACAATTTACAATAAGGCAAAAATGAAAAATCAACAACACTAATACACAGTAATATAATTACACTAAATAATCCGCTCCGTCTCGTCATAGAATCATAACCAAACTCGTAATCCATATTCCGTTCCCGTTGTCATTACCAGTTAATAGCACTCAATTAAATGCCTTCTCAAATAGCCATGTCTTTAGGCTCTTACGGAAAGACATAAGGGAGGGCGCCTGTCTGATGTCAACAGGGAGGGTGTTCCACAGCCGGGGGGCCACCACCGAGAAGGCCCTCTCTCTCGTCCCCGCCAGACGTGCCTGTGAAGCAGGCGGGATCGAGAGAAGGGCCTCCCCAGACGATCTCAAGGCCCTCGTGGGCTCATAGGCCGAGATGCGGTCCGAAAGGTATTTTGGGCCGGAACCGTTTAGGGCTTTGTAGGATAACACCAGCACCGTAAATTGGGCCCGGTAGCAGATCGGCAGCCAGTGGAGCTGGAACAACAAGGGCGTTGTGCTCCCTGCGTCCCGCTCCTGTTAGTAACATGGCTGCCGCGCGCTGGACTAGCTGAAGCTTCCGGGCCGTCTTCAAGGGCAGCCCCACGTAGAGAGCGTTGCAGTAGTCAAGGCGGGATGTGACCAGAGCGTGTACCACCATGGCCAAATCAGACTTCCCAAGGTACGGGCGCAGCTGGCGCACCAGCCTAAGCTGTGCAAATGCTCCCCTGGTCACCGATGAAACCTGGGGATCCAGGCTCAAAGATGAATCCAGGGTCACACCCAAGCTGCGAACCTGCGCCTTCAAGGGGAGTGCGACCCCATCCAGCACAGGCTGTAACCCTATACCCTGTTCGGCCTTGCGACTGACCAGGAGTACCTCTGTCTTGTCTGGATTTAATTTCAATTTGTTCGCCCTCATCCAGACCATTACAGCGGCCAGGCACCGGTCAGGACCTCGACAGCCTCCTTAGTAGCAGGTGGGAAGGAGTGACAGAGTTGGACATCATCTGCGTACAGATGACACCGCACCCCGAAACTCCGGATGATCTCACCAGCGGCTTCATGTAGATATTAAACAGCATGGGGGACAGTATAGAGCCCTGTGGAACCCCGCAGGTCAAAGGCTGTGGTGTTGAACAGGAGTCCCCCAATAACACCTTCTGGGTACGGCCCTCCAGAAATGACTGGAGCCACTGCAGAGCAGTGCCCCCAAGACCCATTTCCGCAAGGCGCCCCAGAAGGATACCGTGGTCGACGGTATCGAAGGCCGCTGAGAGGTCCAGGAGCACCAACAGGGACACACTCCCCCTGTCTAGCTCCCGGCGCAGATCATCCACTAAGGCAACCAAGACCGTCTCGGTTCCATGTCCCGGTCTGAAACCAGACTGTGCCGAATCCAGATAATCCGTGTCTCTCAAGAATACCTGGAGTTGTGAGGCCACCACGCTTTCCATGACTTTGCCCAAAAAGGGGAG